GAATCGAAGGCTTTCTCATAATCCACAAACGCCAGGCAAAGTGGTTGATTATACTCCTCGGTCTTCTGTATAATCTGCCTTAGCGTATGTATGTGGTCTATGGTACTAAAGCCTTTTCGGAAACCGGCAATTCATTATATACTTTACGAAATATAAGGGTGGTACAATTTACCCGGCGGTACAATATACCGAACTCTCCCCTAAGTTGTATTATCGGGACGGTGTTTGTAGGGTTATGTCACCTGTTTTTGTCCACCAACCTATTCGCGTTCAAATTACAGATCAGATAAAACAGTTTAAAATAACTATACCAACACACAAAAACCAAATACACGGATGTAGGGGAGACCGAGGACAGTTGTGACAGAAGAGAGTTACTTATTACATTGTCGATTTTGGAAACCTTTTAACTTCAGCGAGTTCGCAATAACGCGTATTTGTTTGCTTGAGACTTGAACAAGCTAGTAGTTAATAAGTTCTCTCCTCTACCCAACGACAGGTGATATTCTCAAGAATTTTTCACTGTTTTTAAGAGTATTTTGGACACGAATAGAATAGAACAGTGGAGGGCGGACGTGAACAAGTAAATCACCCTGTCGCATTTCCTGATACTACGGTGTAGGTGCACTGTGGCTGTACTACGGAGTAGGTCATCTTCATAAAAACGCACCGAGCGCGGTTTGTATGTGAGCGCGCCAATACGTATGCGGCGCGAACGCACACACTGACAAAATTTAGCGTGGACCGTGGCGTGGATTAGCGGGGTGTTGCGCCGAATTTTGTCAGTGTGTGCGTGCGCGCCGCATACGTATTGGCGCGCTCACATACAAACCGCGCTCGATGCGTTTCTATGAAGATGACCTACTCATTTGTATTTACTCTGACTGTGGCCAGCACGTCGTTTACAAGTTGTCCCTGCTCCCCCTGAATGCAGTCTGCGGGCAGTCTGATAATGGAAATCTATTAGCAGGCGCCGGGAACGCGAACTTAACCTTGAAAATAAGTAAACAACGTTTCCCTGATGAAGCCGCTTTATAAAACCGTGCCACACTTCAATTGGAAAAGTTTATGTGGAGTTTAAACTATAAAAAGCTTATTACAACGTCCAGTTTTTCAGAGCACAGGCTACATGAAATGGGGGTGGGAATTTTGCATCACACATTTTTTAGGAAAATTTATTGTACTATGTGGTAAAATTCGTCATGTAAATTAATTACTGGTTAGTACTATCAGTCTTGTAAGTTATATGAGCTGTCTATTTAAATCAGGTCCTAAACTTAAGCTGGGATCGACTTTACTCCACTGAACAAGGTAGATTACCTAAATGTCATTATGATTTGACACGGGTCACTTAAAATGATAAAAATCTTTGCGATACCTAATGAAAAGAAATGACGAAAAAAAATGTTTTAACATAAACGCTTGTTCAATTTTGTGGCGTACCCATAAAAATGTAGACCGCCGGTTTTTTTTTATCACATCACTTGTTCCTGATACGATTTTCGTTTTACGTGATGGAAAAATAATTATAAAGGTTTTTCATGTGATTGCCCTACGCCGTTTGTAGATAGTCATTTTTTATTTATGGTCTGCCGGAGTGCTATTAAAACTTGGCAGCCATTTGTGTTTGTTTGTTTGGTTTGCAATAAAATAAATACCGTAATTACTACATACACTTACCTACTGTAATTTATTGAAAAGCATTGAAACTTTATAGTTTTAGATAAGCCGATGGTATGTGTATGAATAATGATGAATACACATTACCAACTCGGATTTAGCAAAACGCGTTTTTTTCATGCCGGTATGATTTCTTGTAAGTAATATTTCTGGAAAAGCCGTAGCGTACAAGAGACCACATACAAAAGATTACCAAAAAATAACTCGCTTCGGAGTTTTTTTTTGCATTAAAATGACTGTAAATTCTCGGAGCTTTACCTCATAAAGATATTATGTTTCAAGCAAACTGTTTTCTTGGTTACCTTCTACATTGAGAGTTCGTGAGGCATTAACTTAAAGGACGGGTGCTGGGTGGCATCTAATAAACCTCACCTTACTTGTAATTAAACGCGACTACAATATCGATGTCCTAAAGCAAAACCACCAACCAAAGTGCACCACTAAATTAACAAGTTTCTGATTACGTTATCAACCTACAGCTCAGGAACAATTTATCTGGTAAAATACGATTATTTTATTACCATATTTTATCTCTTCAGTACAAATTTTAATAAAATGTAGCGTGCATTAAATTAAAGTAATTAAGCCTTCGTGCTAAGCTACTTTATTGTAAACTTTTTCATGGACCGTCTAGCAGTTTTATTAAAAAATCCCGTCCACTCGACTCACAGATATTCACGTGTTTTTCATTTTGTGTGTATAGATTTATTATTCAAGCAAACATTTTTGCCTCTTACCGACGACAGTATCATTCCTACTGAGTTTGCTCTTGTAGAAATACTCATTTAATTTTAGCTACCACCCACAGAGCAACGTTAAAAACAGGAGCCTTAATTACTTAAGTGATTTCTTTTCTTTACTCGATTAGTTTTTACATTCACAAAAGTAGAGTGTTCGGATTGGAAAACGTGAAACGTTTACAAATAAAAGAATTTACATAAAAGGGATTAAATTATAAAAAACGGGACTACATTTGGATAAGTCAGTTGTCTTAAAATTTTGTGATAAACTAAAATTTATCTACTACGCAAGCGCTATTTCAGTGCATTTTTACTGTGTAAAATATAACTTGCCGTATCAAGACTGAGAAAATCAAGAAACTTTTGTCAGTCTATTATTTCGACGTAACATGATGATTAAAGCAGAATTATAAACACACAAAAGCATAATATACTTCTAAGAATTTGTACCTAGCTACTAAATAATTTTAAAGTGGTGTCTCATGAAAGCTCCAATTTAGAAATAAAAGTGAGAAAAACGAAAAAGTATTACTTTGGCAGTATTTCGCTGAATACTCGTACTAAATGATTGAAAAGTGGCTCATGAAAACTCCAATTGAGAAGTAAAGGTGAGAAAACGAAAAAGTATCGTTTTTGCAGCATTTTCCTATAAGGCTAAGAACTCACGGCGCGATTTTCACCCGCGCCCGCGGCGGTTGTAAAATTGCGGTTTTATTTCAAAACTCACGGGAACGGTTGCGCGGTTAGGCTAAGAACTCACGGCTCGGGTAAAAATCGCGCCAATCGTGCAATGCACGCGGTTTGCGCTTACTTACTTATGTAAAAACTAATGCACAATGTGTATTACTTTTTACATAAGTATCTGCATTCTACAGAAGCTACGGACCCGCACCCGCCGCGGGCGCGGGTGAAAATCGCGCCATGAGTTCTTAGCATAACTGGAAATAAGCGACGATAAACGCACCAGTTTTATGGGTGTTTTCGCATTTATTAGTTCGTTTACTGGCAAGTACTGGTTGAAGGGCCATAAACAGAACAGAATGGCCATTCCTCGAAATAAAAACAAACATTGCCAGTAATGAGTATAACGCAATGTTTTATTGTTATTCGGAATGAAATAAGTTAGAAACCTTCGTAATACAAATCGAATATGTACAAGCAATATCTAACCATTCCCAACAATTAGTATTAATTATGATCTTTAAAACGGGATAATTATAAGTTTTTATCTGCTACAAAATTCCACGTGGAAAAAGCCTGAAAAATAAGTTTTATGAATGGAAATTTTACTCAACAATACGCTTGAATTAGTACTGAATGACAAAAAGACAGACAGCTACACGGAAATATACTTTTCACTGTAGGAACTGGAATTATGTATGCAGTTACTGTTCGGGATGAAAGGTGTTAGTGGAATAAATGTAAGTGACTTTCCATAGATAATTATTTATTTATTCATTTATTTATTTTATTTTATAGTAGCTTCAGGTAAAATAATTGCTTTAAAAAGAAAAAAAAAAGAAAAAATATTAAGTGATTTGCTAATTATAATGATTTAATTTTAACACTTGAATAAAATGATAAATATTATGTAATGTAAAAATATAATAACTTTTATAAAATCTGTTGTGGTGGTAGCTGCTTTTTTGGGCTAAAAATAGGTAAACAGGATCAAGTAGTCACTCGTAGCAGTAACAGAATGGCGTGAAAACTTAGCTGTAGCTGCGTTTGCAGGCGGCTCACCAAATCAAACTCAGACACGCTTCCGTGAAGTTTGAAAACAGTTTAAAATAGAAACGAAGATTTCCCCTCAATAATTTAATAACTGTAAGTGCCTTTTCACACGTCCCTTGAATCATTATCTAGATCTGAAATTAATTTATTTGACTAAAGGTTTATTCGATATTAGTATCAAATAAAAAAATCGGTTAAAGTCATGCGAGAAAAAAAATTTAAGCAGTTTTTACGTCAAATTTCGGGAAAATCTGAAACAAGTATAAAAATTGTCATATCTCCTAAACTATAAAACTTTAGTCATAGAAAGTAAGGTTCAATAATTAGCAAATGAACTCCTCTATACGCGTATTAGCTATGGCGGGTTCAGTTCCAGTCACCCTGTAGAATTTCAGTCAGAGCAAAAAGAGAATATTTATAAGTAAAACTTATGTTCCAAATGATCTTGTTAGGCCGGGTTCCCACTATGCCGGACCGGCATTTCTGCCGGAAACCGGACACCGGACAAGGGTGTTCACATTACACCGGATCACCGGATCCGAAATCCGAGCCGAATGAAGTGCGGGGAGCACGGGCGGGGCCGGGCGGGAAGCACGGGCGCGGCGGGGTGGGCCGCAAGCCGCAACTCGTTCACATTACTCCGGTCCGGTGATTTTGCCGGCATTTTGTAGCGACAAAACGCTCGGTAAAAATGCCGGATCCGGGATAATGTGAACAGCTTCATACAATTTGTACCGCCGCTAGGCCTTCCGGCGATTTTACCGGACCGGGAGATCTGCCGGTCCGGCATAGTGGGAATCCGGCCTTAGAGACAGGTAGCATGAAAACCAAAAAGAACGCATGTAAGGCGAAACGAAGTCGAATAATCGCGCTACGACCGCGCGAGCTCTAGGACACTCGTGGTATTCCGCGGCACTTCGTACTCGCTCGGCTCTCCACGCCGCCCGCGCCCCGCGGTCGGCAGTCGCAGGCTATCACGCGCCGATTACGCGTCGTTTTCGCGAATAATTAATATCTTCCGTGTCCCACACCTCTTCTTCTGTGCTGATGATTGTTATTAGTTAGAACTTTAGATTAATAAAGTGAATACAACCATCACAGTGGCTGCCCAACTCGTGGCTTCGAATTCACCTTGAGATTTTCGAGAAGTTTCGTCGCGAGTGCCGCGATAGACTTACCTATAACCTATGTTTCGATACGTGAAAACAACATAAGTTACGTGACGAACTGTTACCATGCCGATGGAACTACGGAACGCGAAAGTACTACCGACTGAAGATATTATGAGCGACGACACGAGCGAGCCTGAATACTACGACCAGGCGGAGCCGCGCGCCATGAGCGCCCCCGCCCCCGTCCCCGCCGGAGCGCCTGGCGGCGCCGGCGGCGCTTCTACGAGTGCGACCACGGAGACCGTGTTAGCCGGTTTCATGGAGTCCTTCGTCAGAATGCAAGCGGAAACCAACAGAACCCTAGTGGAAACCCTGAGGGCTTTCAGCGACTGCTCCAGGAACCTACCGACATCGACGCCAACGCCCGACGTCCGGTCCCACACCTCTTCTTCTGTGCTGATGATTGTTATTAAGTTAGAACTTTAGATCAATAAAGTGAATACAACCATCACATAACTTATTTTTATCTTTTGCTTCACAGCCGGGTTGGATTGAAAAAGTTCGTACTGCAGTTAGTTTTCAAAGTATTTTTAGATTAATTTATTATTGACGGGATCGCTACCATGTACGAGTACCTTAATTTCCCCGCCAATTTCCTCAGTTACTCCGTGATCATGGTGCTTGCAACAGTGCCGAAATATCAGAAACTCGAAATTAAGGTACATGGTAGCAATCCCGTCAATAATAAATATTCTGTTATTGACCATGAAAGTTTAACACAATACATTTTTAGATTCTTTGAGTTTATTCACTTAGGTCATTATGGGGCAATGAATGGAAGGCAGTACATTAATCTCAATACTGTGGCATCTTTAGTTATAAATAGGTTTTATTTTACGACAAAAATATACTTATGTGACATACCTACAAGATATCCAGTATAATAAACTAATGGGGCCTTGGTAACAGCTTTTATGAAAACGAAGACGTTTCATCTCACTAACAAAGCTCTCCAGATTTATTTGGCGTACAACCTGTGTTCATTTCTGAGAATCACTGAATTCACACGCTGCCCACCGCAGCCATGCTGTGACGTACAAGTGACACGTTATTCATTCATGAATAGAACATATCCAGATTACACACGGTGGCGGATTTACAAACACCAACTTTTTCAGTCGACTGGAATTTTTCAGTGCCTTTATACCTGAATAGGGATGGGCATCTAGCTTTGTGCTTCTAAAAAAAATTTAGGATAAAGTGATGATATGTTAGTTAAACTCTATCTACCGATAAAACTTTGAATATTTTAAATTAATGGCTACATCAATAATATAAACCAAAAAACGTAACTCCTATATTTTAGTAATTCATAATTTGCCGCTATTTAAACAATCTTTCCTAGCTAATAAGTTACGTCTAGAAAAATACTGACACTAAATGGGTATGGACCGTCCACGCCAAGTCATTACTAAGGCCGGCTGGCATCTGAAGATTTTTAGTTTGCATTCATTAATTAATATCAACTTGCGTATAAGTAGTCGTGGAATGAGACCTTTTTGCTGAAACTTTTATGGCGCGTTATTCCACGAATCTGCTCGTCCCCCGACCGCCGTCACTTGTTGCTCGCCAATGATCTCGTGCTCAGACAACCGCACGTAAATTGCTGCTACTCAGTCCGTGTTTTATATTTCGTCGCTTTACTGAAAAACACGGTGTTAAACAAAAATTGACCGTGTGATTTTTTGTTTGGATTTTAATTTTTTATGTAAAATACCACAGATATCTTTTTAACCTAAAAATATGCAACTTAATCTCAAAAGTTTGTGGACATTTTTTGTCGTACTAAGTATGTCGCCACGTGGTGTGAGTGAAAATGAAACTAACGTACCTAACCATTATAAGAAAACGTTGAGTTGTTACTACTATAAACTCAATGTCAAATGTTTTCAAAACTAACTGCAAATTAGTAAAGACCTAAACTTTAACTTAAGGTGCCGCTTACTAAGAGTAGTTATACAAAGTTTCGGTATGACCAAGTGATCGGCTAACATATGTATTATTATTATGTATAAAACGTTGACCAGTCTAAGCGGTACTGTTATGAATATCGATCGCTTTAAGTGCACAATTTCGTATGTACACTTCCGTTCAAAGTGTGTGCTTACCATAACAAGAGCTATGTTCCTCTACTTCAGTAAGAAATGAAAACAAAGGAGAACGAACACTTTCTGTGAAGCGTTGGTAGCGGTACTAAGTTCTTTGTACATCTACTTCATGTCTATTTATGCCTTCTTAAAGTATTAAGTATAGTACAATATTGTGTTTATTTGAGGTAGCTAATTACTGACATAGTTCGCGGGAAAAGTAAACTAGAAATTATCTTTCCTGTTATGACTTTATTCTAAAACATTTCTTTATTATTATAGTCCGATCAACGAAGCTTTTGATACCTACCAGACTAATTCCTCTGTCTATGAAACTTAGCACATGATGAAAATAGGTAATTCAGATTATAGATATACAATAATCCAACAATTTTTATTATGGGAAGTTAATATACCAATCTACAACTGCTACAACCCTGTACAACTCGGTACCATATTGGTTTTTCATTTTTATAAAATCACGCTTTTACCACTTACTGCCGCAACCACTTAGCCCACTCGTTTGTATGCCCTACATTTTGTTAAACTTCATTTAAATTTTATAAGAAAAGTAGCAGTTAAGCGGAACGCTTCCGAAGTCTAACCGAAGAGTTTAACAGTGATTGATTGGTTTGATTTCCAAGTAGCTTCCTACTAGAATTATTACAATTTATGGTTATTGCTGGTAAGTTGGAAATTAACATTTTTTATTTAATTTAACAACTCATCTGTACCTACTCTTTTGAACATTAAAAATATTATTATGCATTTTTAAAACTCAAAGATATTAGGAGATAAAATGTTGGTTAAATAATTCGAGATAAGTGTAGTAGACATTTGCCTCATTTCTCGCCGGTGCATATATGTACTTAGCGATTCGGCTGAATCAATACGAAGGCAGACGCGAACAACAAACATGGACCTCTGATGATTATACGGGCTGAAACATATCGAGCCGACATACAACGAGCCAATATTTTCTCGTACAAATATGTTGACAAATAAAGAAAAAAACTTATTGAAATGAATGCCTTGTACACGGATAGCATTTTCATTTCATGTTAGCTTAGATGTAATTGATATTGTTCCGGGGAAATTTTAGTTTTCTTATTTCCTTTTCTTGAGCCTTCTTTATCTGTCTTCGTAACTTACCTATAAAGTCATAAAAGTAATTTATTTTCTGCAAATAGGCTTATAAAAAGCGCTTTAACACGTCTGTTTTAGTTTAATCCTACCACTGCTTCGAGACAATAAATGGGCAAGTTCTGAGAAGAAAATGGCGCTAGAAACTTAGTCACCTTTGTCAGCCTCTTTTAAAAGGGTTTCAGTTTTTAGGTCCATGAAACACACTACCAGACCAATTTGATAAAACTTTCTCTCTTAGGCTGGGTTGCACCATCTTACCTGTGATCTTACTTTAACTTTGACAAACGTCAAAAATCTTTCAAACTGAATACAAAAAGCACCGATTATCGTCATAGTTACAGTTAAAGTTAGTTAGTGCCAATCAGCCTTAGAATACTACATTTTTTTCTGATGATTATAGGCGGTACGAAGTTAATTATAAAAATATTAACTAGACAGTAATAACATTCCAAACATTACCATCTTTTTATAAGCCAAAGCCAATGCTTACACAGTAGTCAGATGTAAAAATGCTTGTCGATCTTGAGTGTGATATGTCTCATCAAGCCGAAGCCGAGTCAATACCTAATTCAAATGTTGATAAAGGTACGCCGCTCGCGGGCTATTCGAGCTCCTCAAATATTCATGAGCTTCTTTGAACCAAGGAAAACGCAACTTGGTGGCGCACTGTAGCAGACGAGGTGAAGAAAATCGACAAGACCTGGAGCGAGATCAAGCGCGAAGCTCAAGACCGAACGCGATGGAGGATTGTTATGGACGCCCTCTGCCCCATTTAGGGGACGTAGGACCTTAAGTCAAGTCTTTGGACCCGTAATTGCCAGCGAACGAGCTAAGTAATGCTACGTTTTAAATACATATAAATGCATCCGTCTTTGCACTGTGATGTATTTGAATTTTTATTTCCAAAGGTGACTAAAGTTTCAGTTCTACTCCAATTGCAGATGCATTTCAATAGCACTCAATAAAAAAAATTGTGACTGAGTTTCTTGCACTGCTTTTTCTCAGCATTGACTCATTTATTGACCCGAAGCAGTGGCAGGGTTAATACTGGGACATGTAAAAAAGTACTTTTTAAAAATTCAAATGAGTTTTAAAAATACAATGAAGAAAAATAAAGTGTTAATAGGATAGTGTAATTATCATCAGGATTAGGCAACTAGTATTATAAATGCGAAAGTTTGGATGTCTGGATGTTTGTTACTCTTTCACGCAAAAACTACTAAATGGATTTTGATGAAACTTTAGAGTAGTATTATTGTTTAAAACCCAGAATAACATAATAATACAGGCTATAATTTATGACGATCTGTGACAAAATAAATTTCACGCGGGTGAAGCTGGCGGGCAAAAGCTAGTTCTTAATAAAAACCAGGTAAAGACCGAGACAAACTTTGCAATGTCCAGTATAGTTTCAGGTGTAACAGTTCAAAAAGTCCACGGCTCGAGACTTTTACCCGACTTCGTCAAAAGCCGAAATTACTTGAATCTATTTCGAACTTCGTCGAAGGCGTCGGTGTGATTTAGGATGCACTAATCATTCAACGTAGTTAGCAGCTACATCGTTACATCGATCATTGAATTATACTCGTAGCATACAGGGTGACATTGCAAGGTGGTGCCAATTTTTTATAATGATCTCTAACAATATGACTTTAACGTATTACCAGGCCTGTTCATCTCCGCGAGTTTACATCGAAAACAAAACACGCACGATGGCCCACCTACAGGATACTTTTCCACAAGGCCTCACATACGAGCGAACATTGACTCACGCACGCGTATTCTTGTGTATGATGGAAGAAAAAAAGAAAATGGTGTACTGAATACTGTGCAGTATTTAACTGCCTAAATAATGATAAAAACACAGAATGTACTTTTTTAAGTTGTCTCAAGACACTGAAAGGTAAATAAGTAGTTAATATTATTCATGATTATTCATGCTAAATCATGTATTTCTTCCGCCATTTTCCGCAGTTTGGCACCTCACGTCACATCATTTTACCGAAGTCAGCCCTATAGCTTCGGCGCAGTGCCGAGCACTGACGTTTGTCAACAAAATGGTGCTTGACTCTTGAGACAGGCTAAATTACACCATATTGTTAATGACATTGAGCATACATTTTTTTAAATACCTTCGCGAAGTAAAACTTCTGTACGTAGTACTTATTATTATTCTGTGGTATTACACTATAATAAATAGTGGTTTTGTTAATATAATGCGCGGGCGCCCATACCTTACATGGTAGAGGTAATGCTTTTATTTTATTCAATAAGTACACATACAGGTGGGGCATTCCACGCGAAGCGGACAGGTAAAAAAAGTCGATGTTTCCGATTTCAGTAATATTTGAGTATGTTTTACCTACACATATTATTGATACGTGTAACAAATATTTTTGTAANCTACGACCAGGCGGAGCCGCGCGCCATGAGCGCCCCCGCCCCCGTCCCCGCCGGAGCGCCTGGCGGCGCCGGCGGCGCTTCTACGAGTGCGACCACGGAGACCGTGTTAGCCGGTTTCATGGAGTCCTTCGTCAGAATGCAAGCGGAAACCAACAGAACCCTAGTGGAAACCCTGAGGGCTTTCAGCGACTGCTCCAGGAACCCACCGACATCGACGCCAACGCCCGACATCCGTCCGCCTAGCGCCTACTCGTCCGCGGTCACCGGCAACTTCGCCAAGTGCACTGCACGTTTTGACGGGAGGTCGCGCGACGCGGAGGTACTGGAGGCGTTCATCGACGCAGTGCAGGTGTACAAGGAGTGCGCGGGCGTCAGCGACGAGCACGCGCTGCGCGGCCTGCCCATACTGCTGGAGGGCGACGCGGCCGTGTGGTGGCGCGGCGCTCGCGCCAGCGTGCACACCTGGCCGGACGCCGTGGCGCGACTTCGCGCCATGTACGGCATGCAGCAGCCGCCATACAAAGTACTACGTGAGATCGTCAACACGGAACAGAAAGACTCTGAACGTGCAGAAGTGTTTGTGTGTAAAGTGCGGTCTATGTTTGCTAAATTACCATACGCAGTGCCGATGTGTATGCAATTAGATCTAATTTACGGCCTTTTACATCGACGTGTGAGAAAGCGACTACCTAGAGGTGATGTTAACGATATTGATATTGTGATAGAAAAGGTAAGGGCCATAGAAGATTCTATTGTCGAATTAAATCTTAGTACGTACGCCGCGAACCCGATCATTTCTACGACGAAATCGGCAAGTCAAAACTTGTCGCGATCATCGCACGCCGCGCCGCGCGACCGGGGTCATCAACTTGAGTCAGAGAGCTTGAGTTCTGACTTGAGTCGAGCGAGCGCGATCGCAGCGTTACCATGGTTACCACGAGTTCGTGCGGTACCGTCGCACCGCAACTCACTTTAAACTCGAACGAGAATTTGAAACGTGATAAGCGCGTTCGATGTTCGTTTTGTAAATTTTATGGTCACGTTTTAGCAGATTGTCGTAATTTTCAGAGTAAAAATAATAAACAACAACCGACTAGCACGGTTTCAGAGGGTAAAAGTACCAGTTTTGGGGCTAGTAATTTGCGTTGTTACGGATGCGGCCAACCCGGTGTTGTTAAGTCGAAATGTGAGAATTGTAGCGGAAAACAGCCACCCGCGGCACGATCCGATTTTAATATAGTGAACGGTGAGAACGTCTCACGCGAAACTCACGCGACGACGCCGTCACACGCTATGGTATCGGTCACTATCGCGAATAGGGTAGGTGTCGCCATACTCGACACGGGGGCTACGTGCTGCGTTGCTGGTTCCTTGTTGTACTCTATTTTGAGGTCGGTTGGTGTACAGTTTCACGAGGCGGAGCGAACCATAGGACTCGCGGTCGGTTCCCGCCAGGTGAAAACAGTTCTCACGGCGACGGTACCCGTGATTTTAGAGGGACGGCAGGTTGATACCGAGTTCGTAGTGTTCCCAGGTGAAAATACTCGAACGTTGTTAGGTCGTGATTTTATTGCTAAGGCTGGGGTCACACTGGACCTGGCACAGGAGTCATGGTTCTTTGCTGATAGTCCTGAACAGATTTTTCCTCTCGTGCAATCTTTTAGTTTAAATAGCACAGAGCTGATGCAGGCCGATATCTCCGACGTCTCCTTGCGCGATGATGAGGGCACGAAGTTACCGCCAGAGCACAGGAACGCGCTCAACGCATTTCTGCGTAGCAGAGCGACCCAGTTTGCTGCGGATGGGCCCCCCACGGACTTCGCCTGCCATAAAATCAAGGTAAGAGATAACCAGGAACCCCTTGCCTCGCCACCCTACAGGTTGTCGCCGTCCAAGAAAGAAGCTTTGGAGAAAGAGCTGCAAAAGCTGCTCAGCGCCGACGTCATCGAGGAATGCGAGTCACCGTGGGCCTCCAACGTCGTCCTGGTGAAGAAGAAGGATGGGAGCTACAGGCTTTGCGTTGACTATCGCAAGCTAAACGCGGTCACGGAGCCTGACCGATACCCACTTCCCAGGATCGAAGACGTGCTCCACGCGGCGAAGACCTCCAAGTACATGACTACCCTAGATTTAAGATCCGGATATTTCCAGGTAAGCGTTGACCCCGACCATAGGGACCTTACCTCGTTCACGACACCGCTGGGCACCTTCAGGTTCAAGCGCATGCCCATGGGTCTAAGAAATTCTGGAGCAACTTTTCAGAGATTGATCGACCGGTTCAAGTCAAACTTACCGGGTATAACCCTACTCGCGTATCTAGACGATTTACTAATTCTGTCTGAAGGGTCCTTTGATAGACACCTCGCAGACCTGGAAGCCGTGTTTGACCGCCTTGCTATGTTCAACCTGCGGGTGAACCGCGAAAAGAGCCACTTCGCCCGAGATGCCGTGAAGTTTCTCGGCCATGTCATCGTACCAGGTGGCATTCGCATGGACCCAGACAAGACGTCTGCTATAACCAGCATGCCGCCCCCTCAGAACGTAAAGCACCTGAAGTGTTTCCTGCAAACCTCGAGCTGGTTCAGGCGCTTCATACCGGGTTATGCCGAGGTGAGTAGACCGCTGACTTCTCTGCTGAAGAAAGGGAGCACCTGGGAGTGGGGCCCCGAGCAGCAGAGCGCTTTCGAGACTATCAAGTCCCTACTGGTTTCGGCTCCCATTCTCCGTCAGGCTGACGGCACGAAACCATTTGTCCTTAGGACCGACAGCAGCGGCTACGCGCTTGGGGCGGCTCTGCTCCAGGGGGAGGGGACCGATGAGCGACCCGTCGAGTACGCCAGTCGCCTCCTCACGGCCGCTGAGAAGAATTATAATACGACAGAGAGAGAGGCACTCGCCGTGGTATGGGCGGTGTCGAAGTTTAGAGGGTATATTGACGGCGCCGACGTGACAGTTAAGTCCGATCATCAGCCGCTCAGGTGGCTCATGAGTTTGAAATCGCCAAGCGGCCGCCTGGCCAGGTGGGCGCTCAGTCTCCAGGAATATAACCTGAAGATTGAGTACACCCCCGGTAAGGCAAACGTGATTGCAGATACACTGTCACGTCCTTCATGCGCGATGGAAGGAAGTGAAGGGACCGAGTGCGATTTGTGCCTCGCCGTGGTTGACCTACCCACACGCAGCCCTAAAGACGTCAGAGACGGCCAGTTGAAGGACCCGGAGATTTGTAAGATCGTCGAGGCTCTGGAATCCGACGATCCCTTTAGGGGGAGGCCCTGGGCAGATAAAGGGTACGTATTGGTTGACGGCGTGTTGTACCGTTATGGTCCCGACAATGAAGATGACGATGACGCCAGTTTGGTGGTACCGGAACAGGAGCGCAAGGACGTGCTAGCCGAGTATCATGACGCTCCTACAGCCGGCCATTTCGGTGTAGAACGAACTATGCAGCGTCTCGCAGGTAAATATTACTGGCCCGGGATGAGGACTTACGTGGCTCAGTACATCAAAAATTGTGCCGCGTGTCAACGATATAAGGTAGACACGCGAAAACCCGCCGGCCTACTACAAGTTCCAGCTATGTCACGCCGCTTCGAGGTGCTCGCGGTGGACCTGTTTGGGCCACTACCGGAGACGCCTTCCGGCAANCACCGCTGGGCACCTTCAGGTTCAAGCGCATGCCCATGGGTCTAAGAAATTCTGGAGCAACTTTTCAGAGATTGATCGACCGGTTCAAGTCAAACTTACCGGGTATAACCCTGCTCGCGTATCTAGACGATTTACTAATTCTGTCTGAAGGGTCCTTTGATAGACACCTCGCAGACCTGGAAGCTGTCTTCGACCGCCTTGCTATGTTCAACCTGCGGGTGAACCGCGAAAAGAGCCACTTCGCCCGAGATGCCGTGAAGTTTCTCGGCCATGTCATCGTACCAGGTGGCATTCGCATGGACCCAGACAAGACGTCTGCTATAACCAGCATGCCGCCCCCTCAAAACGTAAAGCACCTGAAGTGTTTCCTGCAAACCTCGAGCTGGTTCAGGCGCTTCATACCGAGTTATGCCGAGGTGAGTAGACCANCGAGGTGCTCGCGGTGGACCTGTTTGGGCCACTACCGGAGACGCCTTCCGGCAATAAATGGATCCTCATAGTGGAGGACACCTGTACTAGATGGGTTGAGTTGTTCGCCCTTTCATCCGCCACTGGCGAAGAGTGCGCCAAAACACTGGTGAACGAGGTGTATCTACGTTATGGGACGCCCAGAAGGCTCATCAGTGATAACGGCGTACAGTTTGTGAGCGAAGTGATGCAGCAGACGTGCCACGTCATGGGCATCAAGCAGGCCCTGACGTCATTCTACCATCCGGAGTCCAACCCTGTCGAGCGGAAGAACCGCGATCTTAAACCGCAGCTTGCGATTCTGGTTGGCAAGGAACACGATTCCTGGGATAGTCACCTTCCCGCTATTCGTTTTGCCATGAACTCCGCGTTCACTGCAAGCACGGGGCAGTCCCCCGCTTATCTTAACTTCGGGCGCGAGATGCGCGCGCCCGCCGATGTATTGTCTGACATGCGGGCCATCGTCGAGAACGACAATGTGGTCTTGTCGATTACTCCGTTCCTCAGGAAGCTTTCAGCCGTGCTGCTCGATGCACGGGATGTGCACGAGAAGGCCCAGGAAGTCCAGAAGAAGTACGCCGATGAGGGTCGTCGCCCCGCGCCGGACTACAAGGTAGGGGATCTCGTACTGCTTAAGACCCAGGGTCTTAACGATACGAGCAAAGGGCAGACCCCGAAGTTCATCCCTCGTCGCGACGGACCGTACCGTATTCAGGAGGTGATCGGTAGTACGACATACGCTTTGGAGCGCATAAGTGACGGCGTCTCGCTAGGGAGGTACCACGTTTCGTTGTTGACGCCGTTCGTTGGCCCCATCCAAGCTCCCATTCAGGAGAAACGTAAGAGAGGAAGACCTCGTAAGGCTAACCCGGCTTCGGGGACGCAACGCCTGGGTTAGAGGGGGAGGATGTAAGGCGAAACGAAGTCGAATAATCGCGCTACGACCGCGCGAGCTCTAGGACACTCGTGGTATTCCGCGGCACTTCGTACTCGCTCGGCTCTCCACGCCGCCCGCGCCCCGCGGTCGGCAGTCGCAGGCTATCACGCGCCGATTACGCGTCGTTTTCGCGAATAATTAATATCTTCCGTGTCCCACACCTCTTCTTCTGTGCTGATGATTGTTATTAGTTAGAACTTTAGATTAATAAAGTGAATACAACCATCACACGCATCTATAACCTATTATTGTTGCCACGAGGTACTGAACTACGCGAAGAGGTGTGCTAAACATTATTATCACGCGAAAAAACATCTGAACAATCGCGCATCGGTCTGTGAGCACGTAGAATTTTGTCCAATGACCCCAAGCTACCCATCCTTATCGCTCGTGCGTAATTATATTGCTGTCGCGCCGCACACTCACTGCGGCCCGTCGCGTCGCGACAGACCGGTCGCGGACCAGACTATACCCTGCCTTATACAATAATAGCCCTCGGAATGTAACCGGAATTGCATGGATAACTAAAATGCACAAACATAAACTGGTATCCAAGGTGGAAACGATAAGTGATCTCACTCGATTATTTCTAAACTATAACAAGATATTGAAAAACTGGTTACTGACTCTAAGTCCTTCACGAGTTCTTTTAAACGGTACCAATATGTAAAATATGTTACAGAATAAACTGGAACTATCCGAAAATTTCTTCTTTCTTACTTCATTCTTCCATACACTAGGTACAGACACATAATATTACCACCATAATAGTACAGATACCGTTTGATGGAGCTCATGAAGCACTTTCGGGATCAGTAACTAGTTTTTTGATATCTTGTATAGTTTAGAAATAATCGAGTGAGATAACTTAACGTTTCCACCCTGTATAGTCTCGGCAAACATCTTGATAAACACGCGATGAGACAAAAGAGACGACAAATAGGCTATATTATTATCTCCACTTCTCCAGTGTAGTTTGTTTCGTTTTTTGTTTTGTTAAATTGCTATTTTATAAGACAGGATAATTGCTGCGCGTTTGTTCAGATGTTTACCGCATTAAAATAACGTTCCCCTCACACCCCCCCGCGTCCCTCAGTACCTTGTGGCAACAATAACAGGTTAGGGATGCGGTATTTCGGTCTTCATGCTGCCTGCCTCTAAAACAATAACAAGTAACGTTTGGAACATGAGTTTTACTTACAAACATTCTTGATATTTTTCAGTGATTTAATCATAAAATAGGCAGCATAAAAATAATATGGGTTTGCGTAATAAACAGTAAATCTGTAAAATAACTACTTGGTCAGAAGAATTAATGATTGGTCAGGCAGAATTGCATTTTCCATGGATTACTTAAGGGACAATATTATTTGATCCTCTAAAAACTAATTGATCTTTTTTGTATGTGCACTTTTAAAAATAAATTATGTTTTTTATTATATTTTATCTTTATATTAATTATTGGGTCTATATTAGTTGATCTACGGATAAATTATGAATGATCTTCATTAAAGGTAACATAATATTTATGTTTAGTATACTCTTTTAATATTTGGTAAACAAAAATAATATTTGATCCTCTTTTTTAGTTATTGATCTTTAATTTTGTTAATTTGATGATTTTTATATCAAGTTTGCCTTTTATTATTGATCACCTAATAAATACATTTCGATCTATGTATAACTTAACTTTAAAATATATTTGATCTAACAAAAAATATTATTGGTTAATATTTTTAATTAAAAAATATCTTTTAATTTACGCGGTACTTTGTGGTTGAGTAACAATCGTCCGTCATTGGTTACTGAGTTGGCCAAGGGCTTAGCGGCCAATAAGCAAGCAGAATAGTACATTGCCCTGTTTGTTTAAATTACAAGCTTTGCTTAGTTTGGGACTAGAGGCGCTATGTAAAATAATTTCTTACTTCTGACATCCCTGAACCCGACATCATAATTTTTACCTCTTTATTTTTTTCAAATCGCAAGGTTGATTTTCTCTTAGTATAGGTACCGATCTCGACCGTGATCAGTGACCATAAAGTCATCTGTCAACGGGTCGATTAGACACGATAAAAGCACTAAACGATATTTGTTTACTTTTAGTGCGACATCGGGTCGTAAGGACCTGATAAGTTTTTTTTTTCCAAATATTTAAACAATTGCAAAACAATATTTATTTATCTTTCGTACTACTGAAAAGACCGAATATTATATCCATCCCGCACCAACGCATCCAGCACCTAAGGTCAATTCGACCCGATAACGCAGTGTGAACGTGTTAAGTATGCTTTTTTAATAAAAAAAAATCTTTGAACATCAAGTGCCTTTAAATAGTTTCCATCCTTTGACTACAACTTAATAAAAATAAGTACCATAACATAATTATTTTGAAGATTATTTGATATAGACAAAAAATAATTTATACAAATCGAATTATTTAAAAAAGTATCACAATATTGAATATTTGGTGCTCATTTCTTTTATTTTTGAGGACCAACAAGTAACGATCAGATATAATTTTTACATCTCAAATTTTTTTTGCGTAGTTCAAAAGAGGTTAAAATATCGATCGATTTTATTTATTTTATGTCTCAAAGAAAGAGGATCAATCATTAAAATAGACGACCAAATAGATTTTTTTATTTGCCGTTTTTGCTAATTTAAAAAGATCATTTAAATACATGCCTTAAATAAACCTTTTTCAAATGGGTTTGTAAGTGCGTTTAAAACAAAAACAAGTTGAGAGAACTTCTCTCTTTCTAAATGTTAGTCAAAAAGATTACTTACCAATTATGCAATTAATATACTCCTGATCTTGCACATTGAGTTGCATGAAATTACTGATTTCAGCATTGGTAGTAGGTGGGTGGTAGTCACCAAAGATATTATCTTTAAAGATGCAGCTCACATGATACCATTTTGTCCAAAATTTATCTGCACCTGGCATCTAAAAAAAATTAACTGTTCGTTTATCTTGCTAACACTTGAGAACAACTGGGCTGATTTAGCTTATTTGGGTTTTGAAATTATTGTCATTCAGGCCAGGGAAGGATTAAACGGTGAGAAAACAATAATAGTCTATAACTTCTATGAACAAGTGTATGTGTGTGATGCACTAGCTAGTTAAAGGACGACATACGTAAAAGACAGGACATTATTTAAAAAAGGATAGTTTTTGTGGACAAGAAAAGGATTAAGGAAAGGTGAAGCACAAATTATATTAACCAACTTCATTTTAATTAACTAATGGGTTAAAATCAGTTAAAGTACACAATAATATGCTAAAATAGATGGTTTAGTTTAAAGGTAGAAAATGGAAGACCAACATTACAGTTAAGAAAGAAAGAAAGAAAAGATAAGAGTTTAAACTTGTGTTTAGTGTACGATATACTGTTAAAATACCTTCTCCTGACGACCTATACGTAAGGATCCCTCAGGTATCTTCAATCCACAATATTTACATGATGCACGTCCTGATTTAGCATAATCCGCTTTATATGGAAGTAATTCCATTTTGACGATTTTTATATTCTGTTAATACTGATCTTTGAAAAAAAAACAGCTGGGAAGCATACACAGCTGTGATACACAGGAATTCACAGGGGTCACGACTAAACTCAACGAAAGCGCGCGGCAAACGGAAAACCAAACTCAAATGGCTGACAGCTTCGAGCTGGCTGGCTGTCAAGGTGACAGCTCGGAGTAGGTTTTATTATTATTTGAACGTCACGTCACAAGTTCATGACACAAAACACAATAGCCATATGTGTCGCTTAACTTCAAACTCGGATAAATCCAATTCTTAGATTTTTTGAGATTTTGGTGTCAAATCAAAGAGAAAACAAATATCTTTTAAACATTTTTATCAGTCGTGTATAAATCAGCGTGGTTCTTGAGAAATAAGCCGTTAAAGTCGTAATATTTTATCTAAGAGAGATAGATCCATGAGACATTTTTTTTCAAACGTAGCTAAGTCCATGAGAGCCAATCAGGTAATGAGGATCATTTCGATTTTTAGCTGTGAATGCAGATTTATAGGGCTAAGAAATCCTTAATATACAGTCCAAAAATTTTTGTTCTACGACAAAAATTGACGAAGTTATGGCCAAATTACTAAAAAAGTTCACTGACCGCCCGGCGCGGGACCGATGACGTCATTATATCCGATCCGAACGCTGCCGGCGTACTGCGTGGATAGAAAATATTTTTTTCTAGCCAAACTATCAGTTTTAGAGAATAACTTGTAATGACATTTATTCATCAGAATAAAGTAAGCTATCGATAGGTAATTTTAAAAAATAGAAATTGAGAAAAATAACGCAAAAAATCCATACGCTCATACGATTCAATGGAACGCGGAGACGCGATTGGGGTCTCCGGGGTGGTATATTTGGCGATTTATTCAAATAAAGTGTTCATAAGTGTTGTTAGTCAATCTTCTTCCAAATAAATATAAAAATGTATAAGTATTAATTTATTTACTTCTAACAATAAGGTATAGCTGAGGCAGATACACTCTGCCTAGGCTACAAGCAAGACATTGCTATGAAGATCATTTCGATGTACACGCAATGCCTACCTGTTATTTAGTTTATCTGAGTTTAACCTACGTACCTACCTATCTATTCGCCGTTGCCATGGGCGGGCCAGCTGCTGCAGGAAAGGACAGCTGCTCCCTCCTGGAAATTATTTAATCTTAGCCTAGAAGCTGGGTATGACTCCCCCGACATGATGACTTCCCCCTCGGCCAGAAGTTGGGTATGATTTACCCCCCCTCCCAGGCCAGAAACTGGGTATGACTTAGATATATCTTTGCCGATTTTAATCAATTTCTGAAAGCTGACAAACAAAAGCTATTTTTTTAATTTCGTAACTCATTTCGCTCTTGTGTTATCAAATCTGATACTCTAACGACCTCATAGACATAGTTTAATAATATATCTTTAGATTGCTTAGTTGCAGGTTTAATTGGAGGAAGTTTTTTGAGGTTTTTAAATAAATCTGAATTTCTAACTGTACTTTCGTTTCCTGCAAAAATGAAAAGTTTGTTCAGGCAGGGGTAGATTGGGGTAAATTTTTTTATTGAATTCCATAATACAGACTTCCAGCTATCTATCAGTACCAAAATTTCCATGTTCTAATATGTTCCTTGTAAGATACAGGCTTTAAAATAAAATAAAATACCTAAAATTTTAAGCTAAGTTTTGAATATTTTTTCCAAATTACTATAACAATTAACATTTACTAAGTGTTATAGAAAATGAAGTATATACCTTTATTAATGTGCACCATATTTCATAATACGCAATAATGCACTGTATAAGTCAAACCAAACGGATAACTGTGCGCGAAAACAGGAAGTAAATAGAACAAATCAGTACAAATTAGCGAGAGCACTGCATTTACAAGCTGGTATCTCAGTAATGACTTACCTTTAAACGTTCATATTCAACAAGAATATGAGGTAAGTAAACCCAATCACATCGCGATGATTTGTTTTAACTACCCTCACAATGTCAAATTTGAATATTATCCACCTAATATCTCATTATTGATCACCGTGCGTCGTTTTAATCCTTTAATAAATATAATGTTAACTTTGTTGAAACTTAAAGCATTACTTTTCGAGAGATTTGATAGATTATACTTTCAAAGATCATTATGCTAGTGATAAATAAAATAAAAGAAGGTTGTAATAATTTATACCACATTTTTAAATGATCANTACCTACCATCGACAGTCAAATTAGTAGCAGCAAACTGAATAGAATAATAAAACAAAATAAGAAAATCTAGTTTTTATTTTATAAAAATAGGAAGTACCCAATTTTAAACAAAATTCAATATTTCTTCAGTCATCTTTTTCAATTTCTTCTTCGTGAATTGGTCGCCCTATCACATTTTCAATATTAAGCATTTTTTATAATACATATTTCAATTCCACCAACAATGCCCATTATGCCCAATTAGCTAAAGTGCGTTTCCAGCCCCTAACTTGAAGAAAAAAAAAATTAGTTTATTATAAATCATTTAAATAAGTAGATCAATATTTTATTTCACATAATTACATTTACAAATTTATTATACTTAGCAAAAAACTGCAAAACATATCCAGACGACCCAACTCCACAAAGCATGTCTTATATTCTAAAACTTACATGAACATACCTACACAAATTTGATCAGAAAAAGAAATGTACTCATTATTAGGTATGTCATAAACATACTTATGTCCAAAATATTCTGTAACATTAGAAGGACAAAATAATAATCGAAAATAGTTAACACAACACTATTGCACTAGTGCCAACTCAAAATTCCAAACGCCGCACAGGGATAGGTATTACAAATTTACCGAGTTTTCGCTTTTTCCTCTTTCCTAAGGCGAACTTTTATATTAAGCCGCTTGCGGGCTTTAGTTGGTGACACAATTTTAATATAATTATCCATGGGAACTGTCTGAATATCGCAAATAAACATTAAAAAGCGGGAGCGCATGGTGCCGCTGGTCGCTGAGTTTTCGTCAACTGGCGGCCATGTTGAAGAAACGCAATGAGGATCAGTACTGTTGTAGAAAATGCAATAAAACTAGTATCTACGTTAATCTTTAAGACATAAGGAAGATATATCTTTTTGAATTATCCAAATCGGACCATTACTTACGAAGATATTAAGTAATAAACATAGGCCGTTTTTGCCGCTAAAAGTCAACGTACGCAGGGCCGCGTGACGTCATTATATCCGAATCGAGCGCAGCCTGCGTACTATTGGGATGGAAAATATTTATTTCCAGCTAAACTATCAGTTTTAGAAAAAAACTTTTAATAACATTTATTCATCAAAATAAAGTAACCCATCGACCAGTAATTTTTAAAAATCAAAATTGTGAAAAATAAGTATCGCTATGTCCAAAGACCACATTTTCATAGGATTCGATGGAATGCGAAGACGCGGTTGGGGTGAGTGTAACTTTATGATTGTTTGTATTGAACATAATAATACATAATATGAGTGCTAATAACCAGTTACTGGGCTAGGGGGGGGCTAGGGGGGGGGGATAAGTAATGCCCAGCTTTTAGCCTGGGGGANTGTGACCAATTATTTTATAAAATGGTGTTATTTCAAGATTCGTTGAACCAATTTAAAAGAAATTTAGTAGTGTTAATTATGAAAAATATAAAACGTTAAAATAACGGTATAGTTGTGGCCAATGAGTTGCTGTCATAGTGACATTGACAATACGTCAATGTCACACTAGGATCAAACGTCAGAATAGAGGGACGCGCGGAGACGACTCCGCGCGCTTTTGTGCTAAGTGATGAACTGTATCTAAAATAAGGCAATATAATGTAAAAGATGAGTATCCAGTGTTTTATTTATGAGAATAGATCTACCGGCCTTTAATAGTAGGAACACAATAATTTGTGATCATGGCAAGGACATGGAGGGGGGGATGCCAAAGATGCCAAACTCTCTCTTTGATGACATTACGGTATAACGTTACAAATAACAACACCAACTACAATGTACTTCTGCTTGAAAACTTGAAATCGACCGCCCTTCCGCCACTGTAACACATTGTAACGTTTTTCAAGACCTCCTCTCCCCCCAGATTGCATTACGTAACACTAGAACGCCCCCTTAGCAACAAATACCACTTCTCACTTTAAAAAAACGCTATTTTTGTTTTCACCCACCAGAATGGGTGATAATGGGTAAAAACCGGGTTTTTACCCAAATCACGCAGTTTAAACCCAATCGGGTGAAATGGGTTTTTACCCACTACCCATCTCTAACAGGGACGCGCGCGATAAAGTTTTTCTGTGACAGACAAAAATCCACGCGGGCGAAGCCGCAGGCGGAAAGCTAGTAACCAATATAGATGACCCACGTGAACTGTGATCGCCCCGGGTGCCAACCCATGCTACGCCGCCAGTGGTTCTAGGTGTGTTTTGAAAGTACAATACGAATAATTTGACCCGTGAGCTCCAAAGCGTACAAACATAGCCCGACCAGGAACATAAAAACCCTGGCATAGAGGCGCGTCAATTGCATTTGATAGTGCAACACTGAGTACAGTCGTACCTGTGTTAAATTAATAGGCTAACTTTATGTATCAGGATTCAGGATTACGGGCTAATTTGATATTTTCATAAATTAACGAAAAAAGATTATTATAGGTAACCTGGTTTAAATAAATTAAATGAAACCATCAATCGAGCTAGTAGGATTTATTTTATTATTCATCAATAATCAAATTCAGAACTTGAATATTCAACTACAATGTCCTGCTCATGAATGCTTCAAACTCGGTACTTCTTAGTTCTTTCCCAATTCCATAAAATTCAACACTTACAAAGTGACAAAATACTTTAAAATAGATAGTTGAAATAAACCACAGCTAATTTTCATAGTGGACTGTACTATACAATAAACATGTCAGTCAATTTGACAACCTTTGTCGGAAACATTATTCAATGAAAATATTGTCCGACCCCATAGTATTTCTCTTCGACAAATACTTTAACACATTGTGAACCACTTTCTTTCACGACTATAGATGACCCACGCTGAACTGTCCCGCCAAACTCAATGACAGGGGGGCGCTACCATCGTTCAACTATATGGTTTCCAACATGGCAAAAATCGGAACTAGCGATCCGGTATTGACGGTGGCGCCCCACTGTCAATGTCATGCATAGGACAGTTCAGTATTTTGGAACTATAATAAAAAGATTTTAGCATTTTAATTCACAAAATCAATTGCGCACATTTAAAATAAAGTTTGTTTACACTTTGACAGCAATAGACTGACATGCAAGGTGACATGTCAATTGACTGACATGTTTATCGTATAGTACAGTCCACTATGAAAATTAGCTGTGGTTTGTTTCAACTACTTATTTTAAAGATTTTTGTCACTTTCTAAGTGTTGAATTTTATGGATTTGGGAAAGAAGTACCGAGTTTGAAGCGTTCATGAGCAGACATTTCAGTTGAATACACAAGTTCTGAATTTGATTATTGATGAATAATACAATAAATCCTACTAGCTCGATTGATGGTTTCATTTAATTTATTTAAACCAGTTTACCTATATAATCTTTATTCGTTAATTTATGAAAATATCAAATTAGGACGTAATCCTGAATCCTGATACATAAAGTAAGCCTATTAATTTAACACAGGTACGACTGTACTTAGTGTTGCACTATCAAATGCAATTGACGCGCCTCTATGCCAGGGTTTTTATGTTCCTGGTCAGGCTATAATTATTTCAACTCAGATTTCAACACAGTCATAATAAGTTACAATTAATAATTATAATATGATATTTCATTTAATTTCAATTCATATTTTGAAATAAATTAACTATATTCAAACAATTAAAATGAATATTTTTTTTACAAATAGAATAGCAAAGAGAAAGGTTCCGAAAATATTGAATGACACGACACGAATGGGGGTGCTGATTTTTATACATTTATTATGTTGTGATTTCTTAGATTATTGTCTTTTAAAGAAGACCGTGGCGCTCAAAATTAGTGAAATAAAATAATAATCATATTATTATATGTACATAAATTATTATACTAAAATAATTTAAGCATCAAGACCAATCTAGTCGCGCTATCAGGGTTGCTATGTGAATGTGAAGGACAGTTGCCCTCATTTAATTTCCACTTTTTTATGTCGCACTGTAACGATCCAGTGAACGATTGAGCAAATTGATTTTAAATTAACAATGTCTACAATCTACATCACCTTGACCATGTATGTCCATTTGGACATATCGGAATGGCACGCTTTGACGAGCTCTCCCCATATCAGGGCCCCGATTACGCTAATTTTTAACGTCTCCAATACAAACGTAAAAATTATCGTAATCGGGGCCCTGTGCTTGCGGGTGTCTATTCTTGTTTCGTGTACCCACAGATAAGGATCCATATCTGAGCCCCGATCACGGTAATTTTTAACGTCAACAATCCAGACACGCTTCTCGATTCTGCGATACGATTGGTCGTTCAACAGCGTACGTCAGCTGTTTTGACCAATCGTATCGCAGAATCAGAAACGCATCTGGATTGTAGACGTTATAAAAGTTACCGTAATCGGGGCTCTGTGCGTGTACCGAAAGAAATCAAACTGTCATTAGTGTCAGTCAGGTAGATTTCCATTCAAGCAAGTAAAAAGTGAATTCTGGTGAATTCGTTTATCATCAAGCCTTTCATGTTGTGTGAGGCAACTTCTTTGGTTTTATCTCTATAGTGAGAAATGTCGTGCAGTGTTGAGTAATTAAATTACGCTAATTGTATTATAATTTGCTTTTGTATGTTTACATCTTGAAACGAAGTACAATGCCTTTGGCCAATTCCTCGGATCCTTGGCGAATGCAGAATGTAGATGGCACGGTATGTTTGTCAATTTGTTTGCGTAGCTAATTATGCAGGATTTGTACCTAGTAATGGTTTTTCCTGATTTGATTACTCATTCTAGGCGCCTCGACGTTGAATGTCTGAAGTAAACTTATTTACGTGAAACGCCCACTAGGCTAATACTATCACGTAAATTAAATTTCTACATCAGTCATTACAAGGATAAAGCCATATTGTTTGATTTTGCTTTCCTTCCTTAGGTACTTATTAATTCAATGTATGTATTAATACTTTTATTACTCAGTTTTCTGCACAAGTGCTACTGTCATAGGTTTAAAATACTGCAATTTGGTTGATCACTAAGTTACTATTTAAAAATTAGTTATTATTTAAAAAAATATAATATTACAAAAATATTATATTGAATTTACAGCGTACTAACCCAGGGCAGCCTCCAAACAGTCTTCCAATGGTTGTGGAGAATTCAGCTGAGTCACGTCAGGCATCTACAGCAGAGAGCCAAGATTCAAATGAGATCAACTATGAAAGAGAAGTGGAACTGCAAGATGTGGTCAAGGAGGGCCATGAGAAGGCGGACCCTTCTCAGTTTGAATTGCTTAAAGTGCTTGGAGAAGGCTCCTTTGGGAAAGTGTTCCTTGTGAGAAAAGTTTCAGGTGCTGATGCTGGCACTCTATATGCTATGAAGGTAATTATTCTGGTTATTCTGATGATTTTCAAAATAATATTTAATTAAATTAAAACATTTTTTCTTTGTTCATAGGTACTTAAAAAAGCAACTTTAAAGGTGCGTGACAGAGAACGTACAAAAATGGAGAGAAATATTCTAGTAGAAATGGGACATCCATTTATTGTTAAATTACATTATGCATTTCAAACTGCCGGGAAATTATACTTAATATTAGATTTTCTTCGTGGCGGTGACTTATTTTCTCGATTGAGCAAAGAGGTATTGCATGACTATTTACTTTCTTACTAAACTAGTGTTAAGTGTAATGTTTTTATAAAAAAATTGATAAATAATGGCTCTGTTTCAAATAAATGCAAAATTTTCAATTAGCATATGCAGGGCAAAATTTTAATGGTGTGTTGTAAATTTTAGGTCATGTTCACTGAAGAAGATGTCAAGTTTTACTTAGCTGAACTGGCATTAGCATTAGAACATGTACACAAATTGGGAATTATATACAGGGATCTCAAACCTGAGAATATATTATTAGATGCTGATGGTCACATTGCTCTCACAGATTTTGGTCTGTCTAAGTTGCCTCCAAGTAGTGATAAAGCTTATAGCTTTTGTGGTACCGTAGAGTACATGGCCCCTGAGGTGGTGAACAGAAGAGGCCACACTTTTGCTGCTGACTGGTGGTCTTTTGGAGTACTTATGGTAAAAGATGTTAAATAACTTTGCAATTTTATTTCTATAAATTGAGCTGTATATCAAATTTACTGATTACTGATTCTCCTTTCTTTCAGTTTGAAATGCTTACAGGAAATTTACCTTTCCATGGATCTACAAGACATGAAACAATGACTCAAATCCTGAAGGCTAAACTTGGAATGCCCTCAAATCTCAGTGAAGAGGCACAGTCCTTGCTCAGAGCATTATTTAAAAGGAATCCACAAAACAGGTATGTTAAATATAGTCTATCTATGAGCAATGAAATTCCTATTGTATCTTCTTTTATCTTTCGTTAATTTTCTTACAGACTGGGCGCTGGACCCAATGGCATTGAAGATATCAAATGCCATGAGTTCTTTGCAAATATAGATTGGGATGCTTTGCTGAAAAAAGAGGTATGTAAGAAATATTAATCTAAATATGGAAATATAATTTGCAATTTGTTTAGTATGTTCACAATGCAGTATGTTTATTTTCAACTTCTATTTATCTTCTTCTCTATTCTTCTTCTCTTCTTCTATAATAAATAAATGGGGATTGGGGACAATAAATGGGGGCTGCTTCTTCTCAGGACTGGCAGTCCTAAGAAGAAGCAGCACAAGAAACTCAGTCACTATTGTCAGCCTCTTTTTCAAGGGTTTACAGACTTTAAAATATACATAGTTATAAAAAAATTTATGCGAGCTAGTCATTTCAGCATCCCAAACATTTTTTTTTAAAATAATGATTGACTTTATAGTAGCCCTTTTTCTAAATATGAACTTTTGGCAGGTTGTGCCGCCGTTCCGTCCCGCGGTGTCCAGGGCAGACGACGCGTTCTACTTCGACTCGGAGTTCACCTGCCGCACGCCCCGGGACTCACCTGGGGTCCCCGCCTCGGCTAACGCTCACGAGTTGTTCAGGTATAGTCATTGAGATATTATAGAGAGATGCCAACTAATGCGCAGATGTCGAAACTCAGTGTCGCATTAGAAATTCACACACATAAAGTAATCAAAATATACTCAACGTTCGAATAATCTTTAGTACTGCGTAAGTAATGTAAACAGTATACATGTCACCACTCGTGACTCACGAGCAATGTGTTCTGTTTTTGGGCATATTACCACAGAATAATAATAAGTACTACGATAAGAAGAATTAAACGTGATCTGATCGAGAAAATGTTACTTTTCGTGATTCGACCCACGAATTATCCCATAAATAAACCAACTATATTCAAGGAAAAGTAAGTTGAAGTTTATAAAATACAGCTCAAAGTAAATTCGAAGAGTAGAACTGTAGATTTGTTTTGTGATTGGCTGAGTGTTAATGTTGTGCTTAGTCACGTAAACCTGTCTAACATAATTTAATATTTTAAAATGAAACAACAACGCCGTGTGTTTTAATTTCCTTCGTATTTACTTGTGTCGACTATCCCAGAAGACAGACACTTGATAAGATAGTGATGATATAACTTGCTGTGATAGTACTAATCTTTCAAAGAGTTTAAACAAATGAACCTTGGGTTGAGCGATAATAAGCATGACTGCATCAAAGAGTTAACGTCGCACAGTGATCAATTANTACTCTTGTAGGGGGCAATCGTGCGTGTTTTGTTTTCGATGTAAACTCGCGGAGATGAACAGGCCTGGTATATGCTGTATCTCGCTGAACACAGTCGTGACTCACCCAGTATCGGCTGTATCTCGCTGAGCAGGCAGTCGCTGTGGAACTTGTGTCCGCAGGGAAACAGGTAGAAGGGCCGCAGCAGCAGCGCGATGTCGCACAGGCAACAAGCGTCCGACACCATCACGAGCACGCTGCGGTTGCGGAACGACTGGATCTCGGAACGGACCTGCGAAGTAATTTAGTTCCTAAGTATACATTTGAGTCTTGAGATTGCTGGGAAAATATGTAATGCTAATGGCGCAATTACACTGCGCGAAGTTGATCGAATCAAATAGTGTAAACACGCACTGACGCGCAGTTCAATTCGTTTCGCCACTTCACCATGCGTCGCCTATACTTCCGTGCGCTATTCGCGCTTGTGTTCGATCAACCCTGCGCATAGTGTAACTGCACCATAAGGGTGTACAGAGAACACCACAGAGTAGGTGGCCTGCCTAAACTACCTACGTTCCGTGGTCGCTACTCGAGAACTTTTCTGCCCCAACTATCATTACTTCTACGAGCTTATTTCCCGAAAACATATAAACAGTTCTTGACCCAATCACGAATGACTAAAAATTTACAGTTTACGCTAATTTCATCAAAAATCAATCTATTACATACTTTCGTGATAAATCAGCAAAATTAAATGAATAAAACGAACATGCGTTTGCAATCTTGCTATGCTATATTTACAAAACAATACAATCTCCCGAACTAATGAAATATTTCATCCCAAAGCGTATGTGGTAGCGTGGCCGAGCGGTCTAAGGCGCTGGTTTAAGGCACCAGTCTCTTCGGAGGCGTGGGTTCGAATCCCACCGCTGCCAGATTTTTTATCCCGGTTTAACAAAAAAATATATCAAACAATTATTGTCACTCGCAATATTATTGCGGTTAAAAACTCGATTTTAATTTTAAAACTACAATGCTAAGAGACTCCTTTGCGTGGGTTAAAAATAGATTTGAATAAACTGGAAATATTATAGGAATTATTTGAAGAAAATTATCAGGAATAAAAGAAATTGTGGAAAAATAATTTACAGGGAATATAAAAACACTTTAAAGTATCAATCAATTAGATAATTAATATGTAGGTACTTACATATTCGGCAGATCTTGTCGCTTCCTCCATTTCAGACTTCAGTTCTTCTATTTGAGTATTGTATTCCTGTAAACATACATTTTATTTTGTTTAGATTCGCCTGCATTTCGCTCACGCCAAATTCGATTCTCGGTACGAGCGACAAGGATGGTGGATATGTGCAATAATTTAGGATATCTTATACAGGGTGTCCCAAAAACAATGGATAACCCTGTAACCATCGATAGGCCTCGCCATGGTCTCCCTAACGTCCAATTTTGACCCCAGTAAAAATATCACCGTTTTCAAGATTTTTAAGTTTTTGTGCATTTTTAGAAAATTGCCACCTGCGATTACTTTTTCTCATGCCATTTCTACAAATGAGGATACTTTTCAATCTAGTTTTTTTCCTTATCACAAGGGATAGTTAAGCTATCAAAAGAAAAGATTAAAGTTCAACAAACTAGTTTAAAAGTATGAAAATTTTAAGAAATTGCAGAGAAGAAGGAAAAATTAATTCATTGTCTTGCACTTTTGATCAGCCGTCGTGTAGAAAAAATGTAGGAAGACCATCGTGCCCATTACATTAAAAACTTCCTTGGTTAATTGAGATTCTAAAAAGGTATCACAAGCCTATGTATTCTGTATTATTTTTATCTTATGGCTACTTGAATAGCAACTAGTATGAAAACTGCAAAAATGAGTTTTTCTCGTAATAGTTGAACTAGGACTGCAGAGTCGCATTAAATACAAATGGATAATTTTAGCGTAGGAATTTTAATAAAGCAACATTTTATCATCATCATCATCATCATTTCAGCCATAGGACGTCCACTGCTGAACATAGGCCTGTACCCCAATGATTTTCATAATGACCGCTTGGTAGCGGCCTGCATCCAGCACCTTCCTGCTTACCTTTATGAGGTCGTCGGTCCACTTTGTAGGTGGACGTCCTACGATGCGCTTTCCGGTACGTAGCCTCCACTTTAACCCTGCTGCCTCAGTTCTGCAACCTACTGTGCCCTGCCCATTGCCACTTCAGCTTGCTGATCCGTCGAGCTATGTCAGCGACTTTAGTTCGTTTACGGATCTCCTAAATTCTGATACGGTTTCGTGAAGAAACCCGAGCATAGCACGCTGTCCAAAAAATCCAGGTTTCCGAGCCGTGTATTATCACGGGTATCTGTCTAGGCACATTTATAAGGTTTAAAACAAAAATTAAGTAATCACAAAAACGCAGAACGGACGGCCAATGGGGCAACAGGGTTCAAGTGGAGGCTACGTACCGGAAAGCGCATCGTAGGACGTCCACCTACAAAGTGGACCGACGACCTCATAAAGGTAAGCAGGAAGGTGCTGGATGCAGGCCGCTACCAAGCGGTCATTATGAAAATCATTGGGGTACAGGCCTATGTTCAGCAGTGGACGTCCTATGGCTGAAATGATGATGATGATGATGATAAAATGTTGCTTTATTAAAATTCCTACGCTAAAAATTATCCATTTGTATTTAATGCCACTATGCAGTCCTAGTTTAACTATTACGAGAAAAACTCATTTTTGCAGTTTTCATACTAGTTGCTATTCAAGTAGCCATAAGATAAAAATAATACAGAATACATAGGCTTGTGATACCTTTTTAGAATCTCAATTAACCAAGGAAGTTTTTAAGGTAATGGGCACGATGGTCTTCCTACATTTTTTTTACACGACGGCTGATCAAAAGTGCAAGACAATGAATTAATTTTTCCTTCTTCTCTGCAATTTCTTAAAATTTTCATACTTTTAAACTAGTTTGTTGAACTTTAATCTTTTCTTTTGATAGCTTAACTATCCCTTGTGATAAGGAAAAAAACTAGATTGAAAAGTATCCTCATTTGTAGAAATGGCATGAGAAAAAGTAATCGCAGGTGGCAATTTTCTAAAAATGCACAAAAACTTAAAAATCTTGAAAACGGTGATATTTTTACTGGGGTCAAAATTAGACGTTAGGGAGACCATGGCGAGGCCTATCGATGGTTACAGGGTTATCCATTGTTTTTGGGACACCCTGTATATTAGGGCGAATAAGGGGAAGGGAAGTCTATCAGAAACTTAGATTACCTCAAGCGACTGGCATATGGGTTCCCTGAAGTGATCGATGGTGACCACATCGCTGAAGAACGGCAGGATGTCTTCGATCTTGATGAGCGGACACTCCTTGAGGAAGCTCATCGCCTCTTGCAAGTCTTGGTTCTTCGTGATCACGTGTTCAGCTGTAAGTATCACATTATAGTCATAAATCGCTCGGGCGGGGCGGACCTCCCAAAGAACTAAGAAGAAAGTTGAAAGAAAATCTATATCATGTTCATAAGATATGAACTACGGATGTAAAATGTTTAATTAACTAATATCTCGACAGTTAACCCTTTATCAATTTAAATTGTAATTTGTTTACATCAAATTCAAATGTTTTGTTTTTGGACCATTATTCTCTTTAGGCCCGATTTTCACCAAGGCGGAGCGGATATGTTTTGAATAACCAAACAGATTTTATTATTTCCACATCTCTCCGCTCCGCGCTGCGAGGCCCCCGCTGTCAAATTTTATTGAAAAATGAGTCCGTTCGAGATATTCGCACGTTCATAATCAAACTNTATTAATTATTTATTTATTTAACTTCTTATTTGGTTAGTGAATTGGCTATTTCGAAGAATTTACAAGGAGATTTAAATAAGAAGATAGCAATACTACAGTTCACACTAAAAAGAGAGGTAGGGCCACAGAGAGCGAGATAGATATAAGTAGGTATTTGACTCAAGTTTTGTTCCCAACTTTGCCCTCCATTTTTATCTGTAGCTTCATGGGTATACCGTGATTTCGTCACTACCACATGTGCTACCACATCCCTAGCTCTAATCGTGTTTTTTCATAACTAGATAAATCCGTATCTCGTTTCAGCCAAATGACGTCCACTGCTGGACAAAGGCCTCCCCCAAGGTTTTCCACAATGAACGGTCCTGCGCTGCCCGCATCCAGGCTCTTCCCGCGACCTTTACCAGATCGTCGGTCCACCTATCCGTAAATAAATCCGTATCTATTAAATCTAAATTAGATAAATCCTCATTGCGTTTTTTCAAAGTTGGATAAATTGCATTCCATCATATCAAATGAAGGTAAATCCAAACTAAATATTAAATTTTTGGGAGAATGCGTGATTTAAATACTGAAATGAATAAACAGGATCATTTATTTCAATAGTAGTGCCATAACAAAAAAAAATTGCCTTTTAATTCATGAAAATAAGACTATAAACACTTTTTATTAAATATCTCCGAATAGGGTAGAGTGGATTTATCCGTGTTTGAAGTTAAGCGACACATATTATGTCATAAGACAGATATTACGGCAAGTTAAGGCCGGTTTTATGATTCGTAGTTAAAATCCCAACTAATATTATAAATGCGAAAGTAACTCTGTCTGTCTGTCTGTCTGTCTGTTACGCTTTCCCGCTTAAACCTCGCAACCGATTTTGATGAAATTTGGCATAGAGATAGTTTGAGTCCCGGGAAAGAACATAGGATAGTTTTTATCCCGGTTTTTGAAACAGGGACTAGAGATGGGTTTCCACCCGGGTAAAAACCCANAAATAGTTGTTACAACCAACCTTGTGTTGGGTCTAATTCTCGTCACTACACTGCACAACTTAAAATAATTACGTTTTTTGTCGGTAAAAACGTCCTGGTGACGTCACCAGGACGTTTTAAAGTGACGTCACTTAAGCATTTTTCTTATACTGCGTGCGGTCGTTGCGCGTGCGCACAAAGGAATGAGACCGCTCGGACACCGAGCCCACAGCGTGGTAGGGGTGGGGTTGCCCGCTCTTTTGTTTTTTACTACTACTGCGCTGAATATTGTGTGCGGATTGGCTTGTCGTACAGGGGTACTACATGGTAAAATAAATCTCGGAGGCGAAAGCAGGATAATAGATAGTTTGTGTAGATTTTAGAGTAATCAATTTGACGATTAACGGGAGTTATTAAGTTTTTTTTTGTTACCTAAATGAGATCATTATTAAGCTTTATACCACCCTCATGAATTCTTCAGTCGGAACTTTAGTATTTCTTGATTTTTTTAAAAATCTTGTATTTATTAGTCTTTGAGTGGTGTGCAATAAAGAATGTATGTACTTTGGGGGAGCTTCAAATCTGTTGTCTTATTGCAGGGGCTTCAGCTTCGTCGCTCCATGTTTGCTGACCGATGATAATAAAACACTCACTAACAACCAGAATCAAAATCACGCCGTCAACCAAAACGCCAAAACATCAACCGAAGAGTTTTGGTCTGGATTTGTTAATAGAAACAATTTCTTTGATGAATACAGGTTGGTATTATAAATGACTATGTTAAGTGAGAGTGACTCCTTCTGGCACAGGTACCATTTTCATTAACATTCGGCGTCACTTGTGATTTCTGTTTTTTCAACCAAAATTAGACTAATCACAGAACTGTATCTATGACAGAGATTTGATCGAGTTCTGAACATTGTATTGTAATACGTTTACGAGACATGTATGTATACTATACATTGTATAGGCTCCTTAAGAACCTTTTTACGCTATAGTCTATACGAATAAAGATAATTTTTTTTTTTGATAAAAATTGTGAAATATTTATGCTGTCGATCACTGAATCAAATTGGACAAAGGATCCGATGATAGACTAGCAACTTTTTTATTGTAGGTTAATGGGCGAATTGGGCACAGGATCGTTTTCGGTCGTGCGTCTTTGTGAACACAAGACGTCTAAAGTTCAATATGCAGTAAAGATTATGGATAAGTTGCAGTACGATCCTCGGGAAGAAATTGAGATACTATTGAGGTATGTTGTGTGTACGAAAATATTTGTTTGTATTGGACTGGGTGTTCTGGGTTCTGGGTGTTCTATGTATAATATGTATGTATTTACAAAAAAAAAGTATTTAAGTATGTTTATATCCGTTGTCTAGTACCCATAGTACAAGCTTTGCTTAGTTTGGGACTAGCGGCGCAGTGTAAAATGTAAAAGGATATTTATTTATTTATTTACATATTTATTTATGTATGTTTTCATAATTTTTCCATGAGTTTGATTCATTACATTGGGTTTTCAAAAATGATATTTATTTAATTATTGATGACTAATAAGATTATTTTATCATCTTTCTTATCTATATCGCGTTTGATAAATTATCTTAAAAATGCCCTGCTTATGTTTATACAATTCATATTATCTTTTTTATATGCAAACTTGCACATTGATAAGATTTTACTTACATGTCAATAATTTGTCACCACTACTATTTTTACTGAGAGATTTTTGAGACCTTCGGTTATAATAACGGGCAGTTTCATAATGAGTTATTGAATTACATTACAAAATTACGTAGCTAATGTAGTAAGTCCCTGGATTGATCATGCATCTTACACTGCCACAGATACAGCCAACACCCTCACATAATAACGCTCCGCGGCGTTTACGAAGAAGGCGGTCGCATACTAGCGGTCACGGAGCTGTGCCGCGGCGGGGAACTGCTCGAGCACATCACGCAGCGGCGCTACCTGCCGGAGCACGAGGCGGCGCCTGTGCTGCGCAACGTGCTGCAAGCCGTGCACTACCTGCACAGGCACTGCGTCGTGCACAGGTGAGTCTCCTGGCTCGAGCACAGCACGCAGCGGCGTTACTTGCCCTGGTTGGTGCAAAACCCTGACGCCAAATTTTATGAGATGCAAAGGTGTCGTGTCTTGTCGCGTCGCGTCGCGCAAAATGTGCCGTCTAGCGTGACCAATTAGACCAACCGTTTAATGTGTTCTTTTTCGAAACGCGCAGCTAGTTAGCGAAATCAACTAAAGTGTGTTGTTTAATGTATACGGCTCCTCCGGCTGAGTCACTTACTCGTACCAGCAACCATATGCATAGGTTCTACGGCACGCGAATACCACAACGCTATCTTTTATGGTTTGAAATGTATGTACTTTTATTAATTAAAATTTTATTGTTTTAGAGACATAAAACCATCGAACATTTTGTTCGCGACATCAGAACGAAAACCTGATGACATCCGCTTAGTCGACTTTGGTCTCGCGAAGCAACTGCGCGCTGAGAATGGTCTTTTGATGACGCCATGTTACACCGCCAACTTCGTTGCGCCTGAAGTTTTGAAACGAGCGGGCTATGATGCTGCGTGTGATATATGGAGCTTAGGTACGTGACTATGAAGAATTTGTCACACTGGATGCAGTCTGTGGTCAGGTCAGAGTAATCATACAGTTTGTATGTATGTATGTGACTTTGTTTGTTGGTGTACCTAATAAATACCTAACAGACTGCATCTATAGTATGACATTTCCTTGAAGGCTTTCTATCTGGTCTTATAAGTAAAAAAAAATCGAGTGAGATCCTGTCACTTACCAAATGGCGCCAACTGGTGAGCTTAAAAACGGCAACCATCATTATACTAGCTTTGAATCTCACGAGGTTAGTTCTGCTCTATGAGAGATCTATGCCCCACAATGGACTGAAGTGTTTCCAGTGCGTTTTCCATATGCAGCTTGAGATGATTGATGACTAGAAGACTCTTTTCGTCGAATAAAATAATAGGCTAGATGACAAAATTTCAATTATTTGTCCATCAGACAGACAATTAGAAAATATTAGACTCGTATTTTTTATTTTCTTTCATAATTAAATAATAACAGTGCTACATCGAGTTGAAATGGCGCGTTACGTCACACCTATGTAGATTTTTTACTCAAAAGTGACGTCACGCGACATTTCAACTCCATACGTAATTATTACATTATGAAAAAAAAAAAACGTGTCCAAATTTTTTTTATTATCTGTCTGACGGACTAAATAGAATTTCGACTTCATTACCCAATTATCATTCCCAATTGTTTATTTTTATTTTTTTGAAGATGCAGGCAATATTTTTGTGACTAATGTGATTATTATTTCAGGTGTGCTAGCATACATTATGCTATCCGGTAGGACGCCATTCGCTTCGACAGGGGACGACACCCCTGAAGCTATATTAGCTAGGATCGAATCTGGAAAGGTCAGTAATCAGAATTCTTTTGATTTTATAATGTGGCATTTTTTTTCTATTTTAAGGTAGGTAGGTACTCGTTAATTCATGACATAATACCACAGCAGCGTGTATTTCAAAAGTTAGAAATCTATGAACTATAGAAACTTTTTGTAAATACCGGCCGCGAGGATCTAACATTGCCATTGCCATTTTCCGCAGTTCGGCACCTCACGTCACACATCATTTTTACCGAAGTCAGCCCTATGGCTTCGGCGCAGTACCGATCACTGACGTTTGTCAACAAAATGGTGCTCAACTCTTGATACAAGTTAAATTACAGCTTATTGTTAACGACATTGAGCATACATTTTTTTAAATACCTTCTCGAAGAAAACTTTCTGTACGTAGTACTCTAAAAACCGAGGGAGAGAATTTACTGGAATACCCCTCCTCATGAACACAAACAAAAAAGCAAGACAAAACATCTGATTATGACCTAAGTCGATTGCAGATATAAAAAGGGAAAAAATAAACGTAGTACTTATTATTTTGTGGTTACCCCTTTTCGTGATTCGACCCACGAACTATTTGAATTTGATTGCCTCGTGATCGTGAATACGGATGCAGGTGGAGCTGTCGAGCGGCGTGTGGCGCGGCGTGTCGGGCGAGGCGCGCGGCTGCGTGCGGCGCATGCTGCAGCTGGAGCCGGCGCTGCGGCCGCGCGCCGCCGACCTGCTGCGCGAGCCCTGGCTGCAGCCCGGCCAGCCCGCGCCCGCGCCCGCCGCGCCGCTGCCCGACGCCGACGCGCCGCCGCCCGCCGCCGACCTGCGCCGCGCCGTCGACCTCACCTTCCAGGTGTGTTTGTTGGACATTAGTGACCTGCTGCGCGAGCCCTGGTTGCAGCCCGGCCAGCCCGCGCCGTCGACCTCACCTTCCAGGTGTGTTTGTTGGACATTAGTGACCTGCTGCGCGAGCCCTGGCTGCAGCCCGGCCAGCCCGCGCCGTCGACCTCACCTTCCAGGTGTGTTTGTTGGACATTAGTGACCTGCTGCGCGAGCCCTGGCTGCAGCCCGGCCAGCCCGCGCCGTCGACCTCACCTTCCAGGTGTGTTTGTTGGACATTAGTGACCTGCTGCGCGAGGTCGCCAACGAGAACCTAGAGACAGTAATTTCAAATTACAGATTTGCTATTCATCATCGAGTCATTTAATTTCAAAAGAAAGACGACCTATCCTTCGAGCCAGTATGTGGGAAATGGATGTCAAATCCTTTATGCCTCTAGTTAAATAGAGATTTTCTATTGTGTCAGGCATATTAGAAGTTATAAACAGTAACCCCGCCGTCGAGCTGGTCGAAAACGACGCCGCGACACCCCGTTATTATTGTCTCTGGTCTGTCCACACTTATTTATGGCTTACGTTCGGGCAGCATTAACAGCACATCAAGGTAATCACTGTAATACCTTACAAAGTTTTGATAAATGCGATTTTGCCAAAAATAATATGTGTACATCTGAGGTGCAATCGTTTGTACATTTCTGAACATTAGAATGGTTTCGCCAGGCCATGACAGCGTCCCCCCTGACCCCGCAAGTCCTCGGTCCGGTGTCGCAGTCCACTCTCGCGCAGCGTCGCAGCAAGCCGCAGCGTCGATTCCCACCTACACAACTTTAGACACGCAGGTATACGAGTATCTTAAGTGACACAAGGCAAGAAACATTCGAGCCAACCGACGAGTTCGCAAATGAATCTATTGTGGATCTCACATATCCACTTGAAGATTTCGTGTCAACGACAGACGTTTTTCAGAACGTCAAAATGAAACAAATATTGAACTATGACTAATTATTATTGACTAATTGCGATAGCGATTTGCCTGATTTATCGAATAAATGACACAAATTAACTACTTTGTAAGAATATTGAATTTAATATGCCGAAAATTAAGTTATAAAAACATCATGTGATCGTCAAAACATTTACGTCGAATTATGTCTTTAAAGAAAAATGTTTCATATGGGATAAGCAATTTTTGTTTATCAAAAATATTAATATATTGTATGCATTTCGAACAAATCTAATTTATTAACATTCCATTTTCGCATTCAATTATGTTATACAAAAATATGTGAATGTTAGGAAAATATGTATATGTGAGTGGTCTTCCTTCAAAATGATTACATAATATAAACGATGAACATTAAATTTTTAAGCATGAGTTGCTTGCCCACCTTATTACTTTTTGTAGTCCTATCTGTGCCATTAGAATTAAATCAAACTTAATATGTTTTACTATGATATAACTTGTATGTTCTATTGAAAGTGCAATATATTTTTTACATGTCACAAAAGTACCACCTATAATACAAATGAATATATTTTTGTGAATAGATTTATTTTTATACAGTATTACTCCCTGGACCTATCTGTCTATTAAGTATTGTCTTTACTCTTTCTATCTTATTTTATCTTCTTTAAACAAGGTATAATTTATATTTTTGTAATATTATCCATTAGGCTTAAGAATTAATATTAAGAAGTGTATTATCACAATACATAATAAATACAAGAGTTCATATTTTCGTTTAAATATCTATCTATGAAAATGTTTACTCTCAAATAAAATTATTATAGTAATTTTACGCATAATACGACCGTATTTTATTTAAAAGACTAATAATTGTGTTACTTACTGTTATTTAGAAATTCATACACTCAGCGGCACGGAATTTGGCCCAAGCCTAAACACCCAGATATGAGGCCAAATAGGTGTTGTATACCTAAGTTTCGTATGACATGTTAACAGAACATTTGTTTTTGTTAATTTAAGAGGCTTCATTTATAAAAAAAGCGTCTGTTTAACTTTTTTGACTCTATAAACGCATTTCGTTGTTGGAGCGTAAAGAGTACGGGTAAGTTTAAATTCGATATTAAATCTTGTAAGGGTTTGGCGTTTTGTTTTTTATTTTTAAATTAATCTTAGGGTTATTCTCGTTTCCATAATTTGAGAATAATGCCCATTACTCCAGCTCAAGTTGCTCAAATAGTTTTGCTTAGAAGTCAAGGGCGTATGCAGCGGGAGATGGCTGAAACTTTCAATTTATGGCGTAAAAACTTAAGATACACGTTAAAAAGGCATGACCAGACCGCCATTTACACAAGAAGACTAAGAAGTGGGTAATTAAGGTGTAAATCAGCGCGCGATGACCCGATTATCGTGCTTGCAATATCAAGAAATCGGGTTCTCACCACGTTTGAGATACGCCAGCGTTTACAAACAGCAAGCCCAGTGAATATCAGTGAGCACACAATAAGAAGAAGGATGGAGGATCATAACCTGCATACTCGAAGACCAGCTCGAGGACCAGAACTTCTCCGATACCTTCGCGAAGTGCGACTTAAGTTTTCTAGAGAACATGCAAATTGGACGTTAGACTAATGAAGCAAACTCTTTATGAAAACTGTCTGTTTGCGTAGTAACTCTTCTCCGCACCTTCTCTATACACTTCCACGGCCGTCTGGAGCTCTTAAGGTGACTCTGCAATCATCGAACCATAGAACTTTACTCCATTAGCCTTGCGTCCAATTTACATGTTCTCTATAAAACGTAAGTCGCACTTCGCGAAGGTATCGGAGAAGTTCTGGTCCTCGAGCTGGTCTTCGAGTATGCAGGTTATGATCCTCCATCCTTCTTCTTATTGTGTGCTCACTGACATTCACTGGGCTTGCTGTTTGTAAACGCTGGCGTATCTCAAACGTGGTGAGAACCCGATTTCTTGATATTGCAAGCACGATAATCAGGTCATCGCGCGCTGATTTACAGCTTAATTCCCCACTTCTTAGTCTTCTTGTGTAAATGGCGGTCTGGTCATGCCTTTTTAACGTGTATCTTAAGTTTGTACGCCATAAATTGAAAGTTTCAGCCATCTCCCGCTGCATACGCCCTTGACTTCTAAGCAACACTATTTGAGCAACTTGAGCTGGAGTAATGGGCATTATTCACAAATTATGGAAACGAGAATAACCCTAAGATTAATTTAAAAACAAAAAACAAAACGCTAAACCCTTACAACATTTAATATCGAATTTAAACTTACAAGTACTCTTTACGCTCCAACAACGAAATGCGTTTCTAGAGTCAAAAGAGTTAAACAGACGCATTTTTTTATAAATCTAGCCTCGTAAATTAACAAAAACAAATGTTCTGTTAACATGTCACACGAAACTTACGTATACAACACCTATTTGGCTTCATATCTGGATGTTTAGGCTTGGGCCAAATTCCGTGCCGCTGAGTGTATTAGTATATTTTGTAAAGAAATAATTACTTCAAAAAAATTGTCAATGGATACCCATGTCAATGTAATTAACGTATCACAATATTTAGCAATTCCTTTCTTTCATATCGCTAAGGCCTAAATTGCTCAGAGATTAGATAAATTACGGCATTTACCACAATTAATTAATAAATTATATATTTTATACAATTACAATACAATAATGGTAATGATTATTTATACAAATTAATTGGTCAATATTGTAGGTTTAGTAAATACATAAAATTATAAATTGATTATTTTATTAGTTAAAAATATGTCTATGTGTATAATAAGAATTATAATATGTTTGTGCTTAATTAAAATGTATATGTACCAGACTACAACGCCAACTGTATTGTGGATTAGAATTCCGCGGAGGACTAATGTTTGTGTGATGAGCACTTGCATTAATTACATGTAATCCATGATGTTTGTATTATGTATAGTACCTATTTAAGTATGTTTATTATCGGTTATCTAGTCGCCAAAGTAAAAGCTTTGCTTAGTTTGGGGCTAGGTGATTGGTGTGATGATTGGGACAAATTATAGGTAAAACTATATTTTGAGTAGCACTATAACTACCAAGCAGGGTTCGAAAATATCCGATATTTATTATAAATATCAAAATATCGGATATTTATGATATATATCCGATATATATCAACTTTGATATATATCAATTTTGTATGAAAGCCATACTATTATTTTATTGTATTACTAGCTGACCCGGCGAACTTCGTACCGCCTTAGCGTAGAGATTTTCTTAATATTTTTTTCCGTAAGAACCATCCTTGGACTTCCACAAACATTTAAAAAAAAGAATTATCGAAATCGGTTCAGCCGTTCACACGTGATGCCGTGACAACGCGAAACGGGTTTCATTTTTATATATATAGATTTATGAATACTATTGCATATGTGTTACTTAAACATGTTTTTAATGTTTTTAAAACTTAAAATCAGACAAATAAAGCAAAAACGTAAAATCTTGTTTCAAATACGGCAAAATCAACTAAAAAATAAAAATCTTATATCAAAAAGTACAAATACAGTAACAAATTTTAAAAATTGATATATATCGTCAAAACCGGCTTGATATATATCGGATATATATCCGATATATGTATATCTTGATATATATCCCTTGATATATATCCTCGAACCCTGCTACCAAGGTGCCATTTACATCATTCATTGACATCTTTACATTAAATAGAGTATAGCCCTATTTTGTAAATATTATAGTATACTGTACAACGTCTTACTTTTGTACGGCTCCCATTGGTAGTTGGTGACATTCCATGGAAATCGACTGGCCATGAGACGTTTGACGGCCTGTACTATGTTAATTGTACCTGTAGCTAAAGGTGTTGGTTTATGACTTAATTTTTTTTAACTGTAGTCTGATTAAGTTAAGCTTGCTGATGTTTTTTTCTTCCAATATCATCGAAAGTAGTTCTTGTCATTTTCTATTGGTCATTGTGGTTTAGACATAGTTAAACTTCAGACATATTTTTTCACTTCATTTCAAACTGTTATATTTCTAGTGATTGTATTAAATCAATGTTGACATAATAATTTCACCAAAGATTCTTTTTTGTAGTTTTTTTAATATATTGAATTAGATAAAATAATTATTACTATCAAGTACCATATTAAAATAAGTCGGTGCCTGGGTTAGATGCGCGTTGATGGAAACAGTGTCGTAGTCACATTTCAAAAAGTCCACGCCCACGGGACAAAATACCTTGGACACAACTTTTGTGACTAGTTTTATTGAAGCACTTTGAAAATGCGGACAATTTGTCCCGTACCACGCATTGCCTCGCACTTGGTTATTCTATTTTTATTTTGTTACATAAGATATTATTAATGAACTGGAATGTTGTTTAAACATGTACATAGTAACTATCACCCACTAAAATACGTCAGCCATCATTTAAAAAAAAATAGCAATGTAAATGGAAACACGTATTTTGGAAATCATAATTTATTTATTTCGAGATCTCGACAGTTAAAAAGAGTCAGTAGTTAATATAAAATTTTCTTTTTACACAGTGTGTTAATGGAACTAATGGAATTTATTTTATCATCATCATCATCAACAGCCCTTTACAGTCCACTGCTGGACTATGAGCCTCCTCCACTATAGTGGAGGGTTTTGTCATTATCTCCATTCTCTAATTTATTTTATATCTTCTAACAATTATTTTTTGTTTAAACATAGGTACTTCTAATTTTCCTTCAGGTTTATTCGCTCTTTTTGCCGGCATATTCCACTATTCCCCGTTTAGTTCATTATTCCCCATTATAAGTTCAAATTTAACGTTAACGGGGAATAGTGAACAAAAAGTTCACTTATCCCCGTTGACGGGGATTGTCAACGGGGAATAGTGGAATAAGCAAGCCTTTTTGCCGATACTTCACTAATCATTATTGACGAATGTACCTACATTATGTAGGTATCTACACAAATGATACCGCTGAAACCTTGAAATTGTATAGCAATGAAACAAATCATAAAATTGTGTTAGATTGTTGTTTATATTTAGTAGTCTGCTCATAATTTACTGGAATTTGAATCATAGTGTTAAATGAACAGTAGAACAACTCCTGAAATCTATGTGTATGTGCTCAGTTTTGTGTTTTAATACCGGCCTAACCAATAAGTTTTTAAGGTTTAGCTAGACTTGTTAAAACCAACTTTAACACGTCCAATTTTTACATAAAATAAGATCATTATGGTGGCAATGTATTTTTAAATTAAACCCGGGAAGTGTTTGTTTATGAAAATCTAGTACATCATCGACCATGCATGAAACATTACATTGATTTTATATTATTATTATGTAGATTTGTATTTGCTGTGTCCGTGTCAAAACATTTTATCGTATATAAAGTTTTATCAACTAAAGGAATTGATCTTAAACATAATATTTATCGTAATTATAATTACAACTTATAAGAATTGTAACCATTTAGTGGCGGTTTGAGAGTCGGAAGTACATTTATAGTTGTCTATATCTATAATATTAATCATAACAACATATCTGGTGCACGCAAGTCGATAGAACGAATGTGATTGTAATACTATGTTATAAACGTCCACATTTTCTACTGAAACAAAGTACTTACAAATGGCCAAAATATTAAACAATTATCACCTTCACTTGTTAGATTGTTCTTGTTAAAGTACTCTTTTTTAACTAATTTTGAATACAATTTAATTTAGTTACACCTAGGGTTGCCAGGTCCAAAATCACAAAAGCCGGACTTTGCGTTTCATTTGGCCGGACATTTTACCCTAAAAGCCGGACATGTGACGGGGGGGGGGTGCAATTAGTGTCAGCTCATGAGTGAGTACTATCATCATCGGTTGCTAACCCAACATCCTGATGCGTGCGCTTCATATGATTCTGTGGCTCGACTTTCGCCTGGCGCGGCAACCAAATAAAAAGCCTAACAAAAGCCGGACAGGCCGGACAAGGCAATATTTGGCCGGACAAGACCCTAAAAAGCCAAACATGTCCGGCTAAAGCCGGACGCCTGGCAACCCTAGTTACACCCCTATAATCTTTATCTATCCTTGTTCAAAGTACAAAATTTTTAGTGATGTTTGTAGATAGTAACTGCTTGCATCTCACCATTTAGGATATTAGACGATTTTCAAACTTAGAAAGCACAAAAATATTCAAATGCAAAAAATTGGTAGTTTGCTAAATTAAACTTGCACCATAAAGTACCAGATTATGTAGATTTCAACAACATGGATACTTGCCCCAAAAAACTTACTACCATAAGTAGCCTTAAGTTTTAGTAATTTATTGCTATTTTTATGTAATAATAATTAAATAAAAATTGGGAATAATGTTCATAAATATTGGACAGAGCTTGCCCACAAACTTGTTATAATATACTAAAGGAATATTTTCATACTGACTCACAAACACTTGATGTTTATATAAGTAGTTTTTCTATACCACACTGTATCTGTAGTAAGAGTGTAATCACAAGTTGAATCTGTTAATGTTTATTATAAATTGTAACTAGTGGGAGCTGTGAACAGGACCACAGAGTCGACCTCATATTGTGTAATGCTTATAGTGATGTGTTAATGTTGCATTGTCACATTCATCTATTTTTCTATCTCTGAATAGAAATGAAATTTCTACAAAATAGTAATGAATTGTTGTTTATAGAAAGAACTCATATTGAATTAGATGTGTAAAATAAATATATTGTTGACATTGCTTACTTATTGTTTTACTTAAATTTTATTTTCCTCTATGTTCTTTAGACATGATTTTCTAATACAAGATTGCAAGTTTGAGCATCTACATTTATTTTATACAATAAAGTTAGCCTTTGTACCTTTGGCATAACATTACATTCATAAATAAATCATTAGTTCAAAGTTTATAAACACATTATTTCAGTTATCTGTATTCAGGAGAGATATTTATTTACCTAATTTTATGGTAATTATTGTTTAAGTGGTCTTGTCTTTACCATTTTCAATACAAAGTAAATAAGGAAGTAGTATTAAAACAAAAGTTGTATAACAGCATTTAATTTTATGATAAATAAATTCACTGAACAGTGTTAAATAGTAAAGTGAAAAAACTAATACTCATTTAACATTAACTCCTTTTAATGAGGGTGCAACTACAGGTCCTTTTCCTGGAATTACCAATGGATTGCCTTTGTAGCAGGCAACTTTTTCATCATTTGTTTTCAAATCAGGGGCACAGGTTTCAAATATTTTCTTCTTGGGATTAAGTTGAGCTTCAGGCTCTCGAGGATATCCTTCACAAGAGACTAGATCGCCTGGGACTGCCTCACTAGGTGGAATCAACACTTCAACTTTCTCAGGGGATGATGCACACATGACCATAGCTTCTGATGTAACTCCCCTCATCTGTAAATTGCAATAACAATCAGTTTTAAAGAAGTTACAAAATATGAATGTGTAAATTAATAATAATGTGATAATTGTTTAAAATCTCAAACAGTTACCTTGACAGGTTTCAGATTGCACAACACCATCACAATTTTATCTCTCATTTGGTCAATTGGAACATGATTCACAAGTCCCGAGACAACAGTTCGTGGGTTTGCTTCCCCACAATCAATTTTCTCCACATAAAGGGAATCAGCATCAGGGTGTTTACTGATTTCGATAATTTTACCAATTCTAAAATCTAATTTTCTCACATCCACAGTATCAATTGTGTTAGTATCACTTGACTTCTCTTTAGTTTTTTTAACATCTTTTTCTTTCTTTTCCTTTTTGTTGATTACTGGCTTTTCTTGGATCTCAGTTTTGATCGGTGCGGCTTCATTATTGTTTATTGCAGAGGTAGTTTTGCCAGGTATAGAATATTGTTTAATTCCTTTCAAAGTTTCAAGGCGGATAAGTTCAGCCTTGGCATTTTCAACTTTAATAGCGAGTATGTCATTTTCTTTACTGAGATCTCTGATTTTTTCTTCAAGCTTAAACCTTTTTATTTCATCTAGCTAAAAATGTAAAAAGATAAGTAACTATACAAAAAAAATATGTACTACGAAGACGAAGTACGAATAAATTTCAATTACGTCTTTTATAACCTTGCTCCGCAGTTCCGCTAGCTTTTTTTCGGCTGTTTCTGCATTGTTGATAAGTTTAGCAACAACATTATGCGACATATTTCTCCGGATTATATTTGTTACAACCATCAGATATGTTTTATAAATTTATAGGTTATTTTCTAACCTCAAAGCGAATTTATGACTTTATAAAAAAAAAAAACTATGACTATGACCCCCAACTGTCATCTGTCAGATCAGACGTCACTACGTCGGTGTCCTAACCTTATCTGTGGTGGTCATTAAAAAAAACATTGTAAAGGTTGACGTGCACCGTACTAAGCGGATCCTCTCTCATTTTCGTATTCGGAACCGTATGTATTTCCGTAGTCTCATTGAAGTCCGCTTGTGGCTTGTGATCCGTTGATAAAAAGTCCGTAGGTAAGTTTTTTTTACTAAACGACAGCTCACTGTCTTAAAAACTACTGAGAAAATGATTCGAATCGAAAACTTTCGTATAATCGAATTCACTTCGTTTTGTGTACAAGAACTTAACAAGTCTATGATCAATGGTCATGTCATATTGACATGACATTGAACAAAAAAAAATAAAAAGTAACATGGCCGTTGCAACGGCGTCATAAATACTTTTCTGACATTGTTTATATTTGTTCAACGAAATCAAGCTAAATTTAATCATAAAATTGTTATCTTGTGCTTGTTCCGAGTATAATGTAATCGCAGCATTAATATTCTTGGCTTACCACGTTTGATGATGTATTGAAATTGCCACACGATAGAATGTCAAACAACACTGTCGGCTCGTCGGGGCCTGCTCCCGGCAAAATACGTGGTCCTGGAAGGCCACCAAAGCGTACGTGTACATGGTGTGCAGAAAGCAAAACCCCACTGAAATATGTTCTGCCCACTGAAAACGGCAAAAAAGAATTTTGCTCTGAAACTTGCCTGTCTGAATTTAGACAAGCGTACAGCAAAGGCGCCTGTCTTCATTGCGACAATGTTATTCGCGGTAATGCTCCTTCAAGCAGCAAGAATTTTTGTTCTACATATTGTTTGAATAAATATCAAAAGAAAAATGAAAAAAGGACGACCTCACCTCAATCAGGTAACGGCGCAAATGGGTCCGAAAATCATGGCAATAATAATTCTACGGGATCATTTTACGACATTTATCTAGATTTTGATTGGAATGAATATATGAAAGAAACTAATAGTGTTGCAGCACCTCAGGAATGCTTTAAACAGGCAGCAATTCCTCCAGTGAATGATTTTAAAGTAAATATGAAGCTGGAGGCACTGGACCCACGTAACCTGACTTCTACATGTATTGCGACTGTGGTTGGAGTGCTAGGTCCACGTTTGCGACTGAGGCTCGATGGTAGTGATAATAAAAATGACTTTTGGAGATTGGTTGACGCAGGAGATATTCATCCAATTGGACACTGTGAAAAAAATGATGGAATGCTGCAGCCTCCCCTTGGTTTTCGGATGAATGCAAGTAGCTGGCCGATGTTTTTGCTGAAGACATTGAATGGTGCTGAAATGGCCCCTGCAAAAGTGTTTCAACCAGAGCCCCCTACTCCTAAAACAAATATGTTTGTAGTCGGTCAGAAGTTGGAAGCAGTAGACAAAAAGAATCCACAGTTAATATGTTGTGCTACTGTTGGGGCTGTTAGAAATGACCAGATCCATGTGACTTTTGATGGTTGGAGAGGTGCATTTGATTATTGGTGCAAGTACGACTCCAGGGACATATTCCCAGTAGGCTGGTGTGCAAGAGCTGGGCACCTCTTGCAAGCTCCTGGCCAGAAGAGTGCCACTGCACCATCTAGGTAAATAATTTACATACTAAACTTAACTATTTGGAGGTGTTTTTGTTTTAAAATTATTAGAGATGGGCCGACTAGTCGCCGACTAGTCGGGAAAGCCGACTATTCGGCATCATTTGTAGTCGGCCGACTAGTGACGACTATTCGGCAAAATATGCCGATTATAATCGGCGCATTACAAAATTAAATATGTAACTGAAATAAAACTCATAATCACTAAGATTATTATGAGGTGGACCAAGGGCGTTTACCTAAACCACTTTTAACTGCATAAAATCAGTAAGTGGTTTCATCTGATTTAAAATTTTGGCAAGTGGAGAGGAATCAGTGGGCCTAGGATGCGTGCCGCGATAAGCGCAATTTTGCCCATACATTTTAACGTCGATAAGTGAGAATAATATCACGGCGCGCATCCTAGCCCAGCAGGAGGCGATCATATTGTCACCTCCTCTGACCCCTCGAAAATTATGACATCTACCTTAGGTACTGTTAGGTGATTTTGTAATGTATCATTTCTCAAGCTGGGCCACCCTGTATTTATCTCTTTAGAAATCTAGATATTCATATTTCTTTGAGAAAATCTAGATATTATTCTTCGGACAAGTAGGTATTAGAATGATCGGCATTGCCGACTAGTCGGCCGACTAATCGGCAATTTTAAAACCGATTAGTCGGCTAGTCGGTTAGTCGGCAAAGGCCATAGTCGGCCCATCACTAAAAATTATGTAACTTTATACTATAAAATTTTCCTTACAGATTTAAGCTACGACCTAGTGGTATTCCGAACCCTGCATTGCCTGAAGGTGGGTCTACTGGAGCTAGTAATTCGAGTAGCCCTGGGACGTCGTCTTTGGCAACAGTGGTGCGTTTACGCATTCGTAGCAGCTGCTCTGGTGGAAGCAGTTTGTTACCGACTGCAGTATCCGGAACAGGGCCCTCTGGGGCAGCAGAGGCACTTGTGAAAGAACTACTGAGTGTCCATCCAGACCCACAAAGATTGACCCGAGCAATACTCACAGCTTCCAGTAGCTATTCTAATATAAATAATGTGCAGGTAATTAACTAATTTATTTATTAGAAGCAAACTTAATTATACTAGCCTACCTCAATATTTAGACTTAATTTAATATTGTCTTGATTATCCAAAGCAGTTATAAAAGATAAGGAGTGGGAATTTCAAAAATTATTAGCATCTAAAGTATTTTATGCCTTTTTCAGGTCACCACTGGTTCAAAAAATTATTCAGTTAAAGTGCCATCAGAGTTAACAATGGACGAATTAAAGAATTGGTTAAAGGCTGTATGTGCAGGCGTTGGGTGCTGTGTGGGCATGATAGAGCTGGACACTGGAGATGCCGCTGGTCGGCCATGTGCGCTCTGTGGGGAGTCCACTTCAAATAATGTCACTTCTGCTCTTAAAAGACCTCAAAGTGTGAGTATTTTATTACAGTAGAATCCCGATTATCCGGATCAGTTAAAACCAGGGGTGTTCCGGATAATCGAAAATCCGGATAATCGATTTCAAAGTAAAATCAAACAATAATTAACTTTTTACAATAGAAAGGGTTTTCAATACATCATTTTTAGAGTCTAAAAATCTAAATTTTAGACCATTGGATGAATCCATTTCTTTTAAAAATGAACTAAACGACGTCCGTACCGTGTTACGGTGGCGGCGCCTTCCGTTTTTATGGGTCCAGACCTCAAATCGGTAATTAGAAATCGCGAAGAATGAGTCCGGATAATCTGATATCTATAAAAAGACCAGCCCCCTTAGACAAAACGCACTTTTTGATCGAATCGAAAATCGAATCCGTCAAAACTTCATACAAAAAAGGGGCTTTTCGACCACTTTTCGAGTGCCTTTTTAAAAAAGTTGTGCTCTAGAATTATTGGGGAGTGGTGGCAAATATCCAATTGGCACATTGATAGTAGTATCAAATTCGTAGCGAGTAGAGGTATAGACCTCAAATTATGAATTTCAGGAGGATAAGGAGGAGGGTGTGAACGGCACGAGTTCGGGCGCGGGTGGCAAGATGGCGCGCGTGTCGCCGGAGCGGCCCGAGGTGGCGTCGTCGACCACGGGCGCGCCGCCGCCGCCCGCGGCCGGCGCGCCGCCCGCCGACTGGTCCGTGGAAGACGTCATCGGGTTCATCGCCGCCGCCGACCAGGCGCTGGCAGCACACGCCGACCTCTTCAGAAAACATGTGAGTACACTTTTTAGAGTTCTCACCACAGTCTCTAATAACAAGAAAAGAAAGAAACATTTATAAAGGCCTATTCAAACCTGAGCGATATTCGCTGCCGCTGTGGGTAGAGGTACATACCACGCGGGTTTCGCTCAGGTATTTAGTATCAAGTATCGCGGCTAGAGCGACCTGAGCGATATTCGCTGCCGCTGTGGGTAGAGGTACATACCGCGCGGGTTTCGCTCAGGTATTTAGTATCAAGTATCGCGGCTAGAGCGACTGAGCGATATTCGCTGCCGCTGTGGGTAGAGGTACATACCGCGCGGGTTTCGCTCAGGTATTTAGTATCAAGTACCGCGGCTAGAGCGGTATGAACAGTTTATTACCGCATACGCACTGGGTTTTCTCTGCCGCAGACGGTAGCGAATACCGCTTAGGTCTGAACAGTATTATTACCGCATACCCACTGGGTTTTCTCTGGAATAGGCCTTTACGATGAATATCACTTAGACATAGAACGTATACAGAAATAGCACATAAATATTACAAGGAAATAAAAAGTGAACTGAGCAGTGCTATCCTGTCGCAACAGCGATGCCCATCGCAATGGGACCACTCAGCATATGCCGTGGCCCACGTTGGGGAAGGCCACGAGACTAACCTACCTCTCATTCCGACCGCTGAAATGTGGCTGAAACCTCTGTGTAACTAGGATCTACAGCTTGACCTCCAATAAAAACCCAACCAGTGAAGGCCAGTTTTTCCAGGGAAAGTTAGACTGCACAGAAACTAAGGGATATATGACAAGGGGGCGGGGCCGGTGTCGCAGCAATATGCCCAAAAAGAACACATTGCTCGTGAAAGCAATGATGGCTGCAGCGACGTCATAATGTAAACAGTTTATATTGCTTGCGTAGTACTAAAGATTATTCGAACATTGAGTACTGATACCGCAGTGGATAATGAGCAAATATTTTGATTACTTTGTGTGTGTGAATTTCAATGCGACACTGTTTCGGACTCAGCGCATTAGTTGGCATCTCTCTATGGTTCACAGATCGTTTCATCCACGAAGATGCGCCCCATCATTTTTCCGCTAATGTTTGAGCGTTATAAGTACACGCTAAATTATCAATGAGTGCACACGCACACTACAATAATAACGCTCGGATTGTTTGGATCAGACTCCCCGCACCCTGCGCTTCCCGCGACCAAAAATTAGTGGGGCGCGTCTTCGTGGATGAAGCGAGCTATACACACTTCTTCTTATCGTGTTGACAACAAACCTATTCAGTGTCGGCCCAAAATTTCGCTACAAGAGTGGCGCTGTCAGTAGCATTTATTAAATCACTACGCACTTACTACACTACGTCTGTTTGTCGCCAGGCATGAAATACATTTATGAACGGTGATCTGGATCTGATATTTTCAAAGATGATGCGTTTCTGTTGGTGCTGTAACAACAAAATACTAAAAAATAAATAAAAAAGAAACATTTTTTAAATTTATTTAAATAAAACTAAATCTAATAACTTCTGTTACAGGAAATCGACGGGAAGGCGCTCATGCTACTGAACTCGGACATGATGATGAAGTACATGGGCTTAAAACTAGGCCCAGCTCTAAAAATTTGTAATTTAGTTTCGAAAATTAAAAATCGTCGACATTATAGCACTTAAGTAGTTATACAATAATTCAAACACTCTTAGAGTCAGAAACTATAAGTTTCATATTTTTAAGGTAAGTGTATTTTATTGCATTTTAATGATAAATTAATTATTTCCGTTTTTTCAGAATCTAAATGTTGATCTGAAGTGGTTTTCATAAGAATATTATTACATTCAATCAATATAATAGTAGTAGTCTTACGTGTTTTGTCTAATTGCACCTTCAATACATTAGCAAAATTTGTGAGTTATTCCATTTGCTCAACTCTGATCATATATTTAAACTGTATGTATCTCCTGTTTTCACTGTTATTTTACCTTGATTAATATTAGTAACTAAGCATATCCTTACTCTGGACTTGCTTATTATTAATGATTCGTTATTTCTGTAAATTATATAAACGTCGAAATAATCATGTAGTGATGTAAATAAGTGTATAATGAGTTAAATTGCATTTAATGTAGTAAGTGCTCATCCCTTACTTTATCCCAAGCCTTGATCACACGTACCGAGCAAACGGGCGAGACAGTGCTCTCGGCCGAGTACTCGGTGTGTATAAACATTACGCCGAGTGCTCGGCCGAGCGCTCGAGTATGTGACTCGCTCACCCAACTGTCTCGACCGAGTAAACATTTTACTGTCTCTCCCGTTTACTCGGTATGTGTGATCAAGGCTTAAGCCTTGTTCGCACTAGTCGAGTAATTTAGGCGAGTTGTGAGTAATTTAGTTGCTAATCGTATCCGAACACCAAAAATTTAGTCGAGTAGGTTACTAAATCGTATAGTCGAGCCAATCCATTTTGTTCTATTTTGACAGGCGAGCAGCGCCCCCACCACGCGTTGTTGCTCACTCGCTCATCGACTAAACGAGTCCCAAACTGGGCGGTTTAGTCGACTTCATATAAAAATCAATTATTTGTAAACTTTACTCGACCAGTCACTCGACCAACTGTACCGATTGAACGGTGTTTTGGTCAGTGGCGAGTAGTTAAGTTACTAGAGGCGTGTTATGCCCGTTTTCACCATTAATCCCTAATTATTAAGTGACCCCTATAAAAACAAAATTCCTGTTATTTGTTACTATAGGGGTCACTTAAAATTTGGGGATTGATGGTGGAAACGGGCATAACTCTACTAAATTACTCGACTAGTGCGAACAAGGCTTTATTGACAGTAAACTCTTAAAATATTGTTAATCTTATCGGCTGTACTCTAATATACCTACATACAAATTTATAAATTGTATATAATATTATTCAGGGTCCTATTGTATAGTTAACTTTCTCCTACAGATTCTTTAACTGCTCAAATGCAAGAACTTTTACTATGGCACAACATAGAAATCAGAATTGGTATGGAGGGGAAGATTTTGATATTTGGATATGTTTTATAGTAAAAGTTGTTGTATTTGAATAGTGACATAACCTCTTGTAAGGAAGTTAACTAACAAAATAGGAGCCCTTATGATTGGCTAGTCGTGCGTCTGTTGTGGCCTGAGTGGTGTCAGTACTTGAAACATTACAGACTTCCAACATACTGTACAGAATACAGATATTCTATCGTAGACTAGGTTTAGTGCCTTTCAATAATTTAGGTGTACTTAAAAGAACTTGACGTCATCACAGAATAAAAATAAAAACATGTGAATGACATTGATTATGCTACTCTAGTTGTAATTTCATGCATATTCAGATTTAGGTATAGGGCATAATATAAAAGTTAAACAACCGTTTGTTTAAATTGTCATGACATGTAGTGTGAAAATGACATTTGAAACCAATGTTCAACGTGTGTTTAACTTTTTTGCAATAAGGCCCATAATGTTGAAGAATTAAACAGTCCATTACTCTGACTGCCGACGCGTCCCGAGCGTGTCCAATGTTCCTTCCGAGAGGCCTACGCCGGCGCCCGCGTGTGAATGATTCATTTTACATGTATTTTTTATTTAAAGCTGTGTCCTATTTAATTTTATTTTACCATTTGAAGCGTTATAATGTTAAAACATTTCGTCATGTGATATTTCAATGTTATTGTTATCGTGATAAATGATGGATAAATATGTAATGAATAATAATTAAATATTATGTTGGATTATTAATCTTGATGTGTATTTTAAGTTTTCTCATGACATAGTGTAGGTACGGAGGTTATACATAATTGCCTATTTCGTTTGTGTAAATATTGATAATGACGTTTAAGTTTGCGTTAGTTATTACATTGATACATTTCTTTTGTAACGAAAATAGAAGTTGCTAAAAGAAGGCAAAAAATTATGCAAAATAGAGGATTCGATTTTTTTTTTTTTTTTATTTTCAAGCAAGCTTTTGGCAGATTGCCTAGGTATTTTATTCTGTAAGGCGCCTTATTTGGCTTTTCGGAATATTAGTAATTAATATAAAGCGTTATTATTTATGTTTTTCGTATAAGTCGGCTAACTGTTACTGAAGTACATATTCGACTATGGTCTGTGTATATAGGATTAAATTACAATAAGGATTATTAAACTTATTTTCATGATAATAAACACTTTTATTTTATAAATGTAGAGTTTTTAATAATTTTATGTACATAGGCGACTACATAATTGGAAACAGATGTGTATAATAAATTTAATAAAATGCAAAATGAAAAGTGTTTGTTTCAATGGTATACACATATTTTTAATACCTGACAGTGACCGTTACTAAAAATAATTATATGTCACCATGGAATAATATCTAGGTGTTACATAACATCGTAGTACGATCAATTGACAGACCTATTGTAATGTATTTTTTATGGAATGGTTACAGAGAGGTGAAGAGGTGAATTATGTTTTTATCTAAACAGAACTGACATGAGTCAGATGTAGCTAGCGACATTCATTACAGTAATCAAGTTCAATTTATGGCCCAGCGCACGCGACCCAAAAAGTTGTGTCGTTATGGTGACAATTATTGACATACATTATACCACAGATTATACTGATAATTATTATTTTTCAATTAGATTTCACAATTTTTTCAGTAAGAGCATAACTAAAGAAACTCAAAGTAGCGCTGTGAATGCATAGTCAAATCGACATCGATGACAACAGTTAGGTTCCTAGCGACATCTTCAATTTGTATGAAATGAAAACAATATTTCCTGTAGTTGTCGCCAGTCGTTGCATACGGTACAAACGTTACTATGAGGTCTCATAGTGCGCGTGGACGCACAGGGAGGCACACGAACCACTCACAGAGCTCTATTCAAAGCTGTGCGTTCGATTTATTATCGTTTGTGAATACGGGCGTAAATCTTTGTTCTAAAAATTTGATTTGTGGCAAGGAGTAGGTATTTGATGTCGTATAACACACAGAAATGTAACACAATAACTAGTAGTAAGTAGGTAGTTACTAAAAAAAACCCGTGTAAACAATTTTATTGAGTTAGCGGTTGGGGTCGGCAGGGTCAGAGTGATCCCAGCTATTTTATTTTTGTTCTCTCATCAATAAAGAAATAAAAGTTCTAAGTAGGTTCATAAGTACATTCCTATAGAAGGTATCTCTCGCCCCGTATAATAGACTGCAACGGTTGATGACATGACTATTTGATCTTTCTTCAGAAAACTTACTTGTTGTTACCTTATGGTGATTTACCGTGTTACGAACTTACGAGTCTTACGACACATAATATAGCCAAAGTTAAGCTATAGATAACTACAGAAAAGACGGCTAAAGTCATTCAAACTGAATTCTTTGCTTTGGAGCTTAATGCGATTTTGAACGCTATACCGTATCAAATTTTAAACAAGGCTTGAAAGTCTTGAAAGGCAGATAGTAGGTATTGCTGAAAATAAACATGAACCTCGGAAAATAGCATTTTAGCATCTTATTTTAATGCTTCATTGTTATTATCTCGAAGAAAAACTGTCATTATTGTAAACCACCGTGTTAGTATCACGTTTAGAAAATAACAACGACAATTTACGAAGAGAGTGGCGCGCACGCACGGATAGTCGCGAAATAACGTCAGTCAGTGTTTTGTTGGCCGAGGAGACTGCTGTGCCGTTGCCCTAATGTGGTCTCGACGCGAGTTGTAAATAAATAAAACTAGTTTTTAAATATCAACCAGAAGACAAGTATAATGGAGATGCAAGACCACAATAATGAGAATGGTAAGATGGTGAATAGTGAAAGTGTTAAGTGTCAGCAAGCACAGTGACCCCGATAAGTTGCAAATATTTTAAGGCATTAAACCTTGGGAGAAGCAGCATTGGCAAGGGACAAGGATATTGACTTAGCCCTTCTTAAAACCTGTACCTATGTCTTGGCACCGAACAATGGAATAAGAACGAACTGAATTTGTTTCGTTTCCGCACATTTTTACTATTGTAAACATGATATTTTTTTTATTGAAAGATAAACATATTGTCACTGCATGTCTCCGAAAGATTGCATCAGTATGTTATTTTATTATACCTACATAATGAGAGTAGCAGATAGAGTTTTATAAAACATTCCTTTTAACATTAAAAATGTATTGATTACGAAATCATTAGTAGCACTAAATTACATGTGTGATTCAATAGACTTCACAGTAATTTCGTAATAAAAAACAACTAAGACTTAATTAATTAGAAAGAATTCAGTGTAAGATACCTATATTTATTCTTACTTTAAGTAAGTAGGTCTGTTTCCTCCTAGCCATTAAAAGTAAGATTTGTAAGCGCACTGTTATGTGGCAGTTGGTGTAAGTAATTAATAAATAATAAACTATACTAGCTTTCCGCCCGCGGCTTCGCCCGCGTGGAATTTTGTCTGTCACAGAAAAACTTTATCGCGCGCGTCCCTGTTTCAAAAACCGGGATAAAAACTATCCTATGTTCTTTCCCGGGACTCAAACTATCTCTATGCCAAATTTCATCAAAATCGGTTGCGAGGTTTAAGCGGGAAAGCGTAACAGACAGACAGACAGACAGAGTTACTTTCGCATTTATAATAAATATTAGTTGGGATGGGATTAGTTGGGATTACATGAACTAGGTGTTTATTTAATATCGCACGTAAAAGTTGAACACAATATTTAATGCATGATTACCTATTATTATTTGTTTTCAATGACTCATAACATTGAATATTCCGTGGCATCATAATGTTAACTGGGGATAGAGAGTAGTTAACGTAAGTTAACCAGTTGGTAGTATTTAATTTAATTATTATGTTGTAACCTCATGTTGTTGAGATCAATATAGGGCATAAATATTATGCCATCTCTATCCTATTAGTTACCTCTGTTATCGATCGTGAATAGTTGTGGAGTTGGGTTCCTACGATTCGGAATTCCCGAGTTCGATTATCAAATTCGATTGGTAGCTGGAAAAACAGATTAGGTAGGTACCTACACTACCTACATATGCCCATTAATTGCCATTAGTTTCGTGTTCCGATTAGTAATTGTACCAATCGGTCCAACGTTAATCTATTTTGGAATATAATATTTACAATTAAGTTGTATGTCAGTAAAATTGCCAGAATTGTATTACGACTTAATTAATTTTTATACGAATTAATTTTTGTTTATGTAAGTACCTATAATATTATCAGTCGCCTACTTCTTAAATGGACTTTGCTATACCAATTAAATATTATCGTAAAAACCTGTACAATCAAAAGGTTAAGATATTTATTAACTTAGTTATTTACTAAGTTCTAGAAATTTTCCTAGTTTCATTAAAAAGTACTTAATGTATGAACATTTTATGAGTAGGTATGCAAAATTCCTATAATGCTGGCGCCAAACAAATTGATTTTAGTAGGCGCATTAATATAAAACTCAATATAAAACAGATACCTACATTATAATGACACCTAAATAAAATATTTATTTACATAATAGCATTGTGCAGTAGGAATAGAAAATACGTATATTAGCAAGAAAGTAAGTGAATAAAATTATTTTGCTGAGGCTCGTAGAGTTGTGCAAGACAACGCAAAGGCTCTAATTCGATATAAAATTGCTAAAGAGAAATTAAATTAAATTCTAAAATAACTTTTTACCCACATATTCTTATGAAAATCTTGTCGCATGTTTCGGCCTTCAACATTTTTTTAAAATAAGATAAGTAATAAACTCTACGTATTGTTTGAAGTGATTCAAGATAATCCAACTGTTACGTACATTTTATTTACTTACTCCATTATTTATCGCTATGTAAATACTCATGAAAAAGTAGGATATAAAACATTATAATTTATACAATGTAGGTATCTACTGCATTACGATTAATGTCGTATGTAAGTACCTAGGTATATGGATAACTTACTAAAACCTCTGTCATTTTTATACCAACCGATTGAGCCCTTGTTAAATTGCAATATAAACAGGATGTAGGTACAGTTTGACCGTCAGTAAAAACTAATTTTATTGTTGACTTAAGAGGACACGCGAGGTGTCCCCTACTCAATTTCTCCTTGGTAAACCGGTTTTCTCCCAGTTTGAAACCGGTTTGAAATGGTCGCATCATGTGTGGTCTCTCAACGGAATCTATGGCAGAAACTTAGATGCAACTCAAAAGTAATTAGAAGTTGCAGTTTCGTTGCAATTGCGTTTCACCGTGTGTTCTGGGCCTTAGGTAAATGTCGGCCGTTTGGTGTAGTGGTTGTAACGGTCTACTATGCCGAGTGGTCCCGGGTTCGAATCCCGGCCGGGCAGAAATTGAAATGATGAATTTTAATTTCTGTGACGGGTCTGGGTGTTAGGTACTATGTATAATATGTATGTATTTAAAAAAAAAGTATATGACTGTATAAGTAGTATATCCGTTAAGCTAGCACCCATAACATAAGCATTAAGTTGCTTACTTTGGGGCTAGCTGGCGCTGTGTGAAATTGTCCAAAGAATTATAAATAAAAAAAAGGTAGGTACACAATGTTGAATTCCTAAAATGTTGGTTGGTTTGCAAAAGGTTGCCTAACTACTAAGTAGGTAGAATCCTAAAAAGTTGAATTTCATAAAAGTTAATATTAATATCCCACTTCTTCTGTCGTGCTTTGTGGACTACTTATTGATTGTCAATATCTAATATTCACTGAATTCTGATAGATAGGCAGGTCACAACCATGGTGTCAGGGCTATGAATGAAGCTTTTATAACACTATGTCTCTATATTTTATTCGTCACACAAGTAGGTAAATAAATGTAGGTAAATAAATGTAAAAATAAATTCTACCTAATAGCCGCATGTTTCCTCTAAACTATTTTTAACATGTTTCATTTATTTTTCAGGCACAAAAAAGCCAGACACCGCTCCCCAGATGGATATGATACAAAGAATAACTGGAAGTTTTGGAAGATTTCAGCTCTTAATATGTTTTTTCATATTCCTAAGTAAATTTCCTGTGGCTTTTCATCAAATGGCTATAATATTTTTGGCGCCTAAGACACCATATACATGCCTTGACGACAACAACAGCACAGATGCGTGTCCTTGCGCCCATCCAGAATATGACACTTCTGTCTTCACCTCAACTATTATATCAGAATGGGATCTGATATGTGATAAAAAATGGCTTACCAGTTTTACACAAACATTGTTCCAGTTAGGAACGCTGATAGGCAGCGTCATATTTGGGATGGCGGCAGACAGGTAAACATCTTCACACTCGTAACTTTTATTAATTGAAGCATAATCAAAATAGAGATATCTACGTTGTATATTTCTATTCTGTTTCAGGTTTGGAAGGAAGAAACCTCTGTTGCTTGGAGTAGTCATACAAGTGACGATGGGCGTCGGAGCCACGTATGCAACAGACTTTTGGACCTTTACTATATTACGATTCTTCGTGGGATTGTCTGTGGGGGGCACTATGGTCACAGGGTTCGTCATTGTGATGGAAACTGTTGGCACGCAGTACCGGGACACCATATCGGCGCTCTACCAAGTACCTTTCAATTTGGGACACATGCTGCTGCCAGTGTTTGGCTACTTTTTCAGAGACTACACAGCGTTCCAACTGGCCATTTCAGTACCTGGAGTGGTTTTGCTTTCGTACTTCATCATAGTTCCTGAATCACCGAGGTGGTTGATTGCTGTTAGAAGAACAGACCAAGCCATCCACATTTTAGAACGCATTGCTAAAGTGTAAGTGTTTAAAATACTTCAATTGTAAGTACTTACGATGTCGTGTTATCCTAGTTCCTACGTATCTACAACTTTTGAAAAAACTCCTATGTTGACCTTACTTTCTCTATAATAATTAGTTTACCTGGTTACTTTTCTTTTGCCAAGTAAAGCTATGAAGAAAGATACATACACGTATCTACCTGATACTTAATATCATGTTTTACTTGTGTTTTAGGAATGGGCGACCAACAGAAAACATAAAATCGGACGTGGAAAGTTTTCAAGCTGCAGTGGAGAAAAATAACCTAAAGAAAGGAAACATACTGGATCTGGTTCGGACTCCAAACTTACGTAAAAACATAATTGCTATGTCACTTAACTGGTTGACTTGTGGGTACTGTTTCTACGGGGTGTCGCAGTACGTAGGTCAATTGAGCGGAAATATCTTCGTGAACGTAGCAGCCAGCGCCAGTGTAACTTTACTGGGCACTTTCGCCGCTGTATTTCTTTTGAAGATTATTGGCAGAAAGACCATTGTTATTGTTTTCAATTTTATTTGTGCGTTATGTCTAATAGTTCTGGCTGTGATACCCGAAGGCGTAGGTTCCGTGGTGTGTGCAAGTATAGGCGTCGTAGCTAGTTTTATAGTATTTGTTGTAGTTTATTTGTATTGTTCGGAGCTGTTTCCGACGGTAGTTAGAAACGCGGCTCTTGGAACATCGTCGATGATGGCTCGCGTGGGGTCCATGGTGGCTCCGTTTGTGATCGAGTCGAAGGACGTGGCCGCGTGGTTGCCACCAATATTGTTCGCTATATTACCCCTATTAGCCGGTTTTATGACATTCATCATGCCCGAAACCAAAGGTTGCGAACTGATGACCACAATAGAAGAAGGAGAACGGTTCGGAAAGAAAGAGAAAAAGTAAGTCTCTAATGCATTGTCTGAAAGAAAAAATAATGTATTATTTAGTGCCAAACAATCATTCCTTTTGTAAATATTGTACAATACGAAATATATATTTAATTTTAATCTTAGATAGTAATATAATAAACAGTGTTTTATTAATAAAATTACTACCGTACTGTATTAAAATAATTTCATTTATCTTTTAAAATGTGAAATTCATCTTGTAACGTAGCGTACTTAGTGCCTTCCAAAATTACGCCTATTTATCAATAAAAGGCACTCATTGACAGAAGAGTTGATTTATCCCTCAAACTAAGAATTTTGAGAGGCATATAAGATACAAGAAATGTATATTTTATTGTAAAATAGCACCTATAACAACTTTATAAGATGACACAATGTGGTTTGAAATGTGGTCGGCCGGACTTTGATGAGTTTTATCGATAGGCACTTGAATTTTGGTGATAAAGATATAAGATTACATAAAGCATAATCCATTAGAAATACGAGATGTTCTTGTCGAACATAATAATAGCTAAGTAGATCTAGCTAGGTCCTTAATTGGAGATTTACTTTCTGGTTATGAATGGTTATGAATATGAAATTAAAAATATCCATAAATCTTTTTCTGTAGATGATGTAGAGCTACCCTTCACAGCTATCTACCTATGCTCCTTGAAAGTTATTTGAGAACAAACCGGCCAACTGTGGCCACTGTGGGTTTCGCGCTCTATGTTTGTCTAAATAGCACGTTTCTAATGGAACGTTTAAATTTAAATGAAGTCATGAATTTTTATTAATGGCCATTAGTGAAGGAAGACACATTGGTAACTTCATACATTTAAATAAATAATAAAACTTCTTTCAACTAAAAGGAAAAGGATTTATGTAGGTCTGCATAAACTTAAGGTTAATTCCGGTTACCTTGAATTAGCTAACAACTATTGAATTAATTTTTTAACACTTGATTTCGAATTTTGACCGTATCTGACACCTATGGTGATAGGCGGCTTATTGAGTCTAACAAAGATGAGCTCTCAGTTGTTCAACAATATGAGACAAGAAAATAGCGCAGTTTCAACTTAATGTTCGTTAAATGTGTTTGAAGCAATAAGTACACAGTTGTTATTTCCACATTTCTTATGAATTACACGTCATCGCAAGTAAAATGTAAACAAATTAATTTTGTTGTTGTTATTCGCAATTCGATAATAATAAAACATAACCCTCATTCTAGCGCAGTCGGGTAATAAAGCTGCGGATGCATGTGTAGTTTGGTGTAAATCCTTACTTCCTGCTAATAATAAAAATGCGAAAGTTTGTATGGATGTCTGTATGTCTGGATGTTTGTTACTCTTTCACGCAAAAACTACTAAACGGATTATGATGAAAATTTACAGTATTATTGTTTATAACCCAGAATAACATATGGGCTATAATTTATGACGATGTGACAAACTCAATTGCACGCGGGTGAAGCCGCGAGCAAAAGCTAGTCAGTAGGTACAATAGAATTTCGACTCGCAGTCAAGGCTATTAGCGAGTAACGTAATTATTTACGCTATTGGCGCTCTGTTGATCGACAATTAATAAAAACATTAATTTCTACTGCAGTATTTAGATCGTGCGTGATTAGTGTTACTAGGTCAGGTGCAGCAAAAACCAGGAACGAGGGTTAAACCAATCGGGATAGTCGTTCTTAAACCATGCCATATTCTGACTGAATACCTACAATAGAATATAATATTTATTTGTAATAATTGTCTGTGAATGTGTTCTGAAAGTTGAAACCAGAACAACTGGACACCTGTGATTAAATTAACTAGTCTCTAAATCAATCTTTTAGCGAATTGGCAATTTGGTAGCCTGGCAGTTTGACATTTACTAAGTTAGGTGGTACGATCAGAAATTTTCAAGTTTGTTTCTTGCTTTTCTTTAGTTTTTTATTAGCTATTTTTCGCGCACTCTGCATGAATTTTTCCTAAATTAAGCACGAGTAGCTTTAATTTTACTTGTTTTGGTCCTTGAGTAAAATAGAATGTAGCTGATAGATCAAATTATTCAGGAAGACAGTTTCAATTGAAGCTGTTAGTAAATCGATGTTGAAACTGTACTTTATCCTTTGTTTTGTTTACCTATTACTGAGCGTTTCGTTATCGTTGAGGGTACAGTTGTGACTGTGAGTTTATCCTCCGAGTTCACTTAAGTTATCATTATTATCACCACTATCAATCAACATGTCATTGGTCTAAGCTATGACACGCCTACAAATAATAAAAGTATACTTTTGCGCGTGACTTTACCTACATGGTTTTCCAGATTCACTTAATTGACTGATAATTTACTGATTTCAAAATTACTAGTCGAATTTTGCAGTAAATAAACTCCTTTGTCAAATCTAGAATGAAGTGCTTTTCAAAGAAATTTAAAAGTTTTGCATTTAAATTTTAAGTTAATGGTGTCATCTCTAAGGGTGCCATCTACTCTACGTCAGCTAAAGAATAAATATGCTAATACGCTGTAGGAAGATCACAGTTATACATTTAGTGTAATTTTTCACGTTCCATAACTTTGTAGTAAGACAAACACCATGATGTCAAGTTGTAACATTTTGTACAATACGAGTACAATACAATGTTTGGCCATTTGGTTAGAGTCGCGGTTGACCGGATCGCTACGTATTTATTCTTTTATTCAGCGAAGACTCAAGGTCAGTATCTATGCATTTTTATAATTTTCAATATTTGTTCCAAAGTAAATCTAATTTCCACCAATTTTCTTTCTCTTTCTCTCAATTTTCACAGCGACGCGGACGCACTGATATAGACACGACACGTGTTTTTATTAATATACATAAATGTAGAGTATAATAATAATTAGTGTCATGTACCTATTTATTTATGCCGATTCCTCTTTAACTTATGCCGCTCTACACAATATAATTTAATTTTATGCAGTGAAAGTTATAAAGAAATATCAAATTATTAACTTTTACAGTTTTTATGCAATGCAATAAATAAACGAACAGAAACGTTTATAAACCTGCAAAATACTTGGTTCCACTGAGGAAAATACTGCATATTATGGTACTTAGGCTCTATGAATATTGCGGTATCATGGTGAACTGCTCACGTGTGGTTACTGTCAGTTCTTAAGTAGAGTAACTAAGTAACCGCTTCTGTGGTGGTGTGTAGTGGTAAGACCACCTGCTTCAAACGCAGAGGTTCCGGGTTCGTATCCCAGTGGGGGCAGATTTTGTTCTCTTGTGTTAAAATTACAAAGTCCTTAAACCTGTTGCTGGATTCATTATCTGCTACCCTGCTTGAACGAAGCAGGTGACATTCTTGTTGCAATTCTATAAAATTGGCCTGATGTGCCGTCTACTATAGGTAGGTAGGTATCTAGACAGACGAGGGAACACATTAAGATAAGACCTGATGGAAACTGGCTACTCAAACAAATGGACTTTAACGCCATTTTATTCTTTGTTCGCTTTTGTAGTCAGTTTAGATAGTTATTTATATGGTTGTATGTGAACAGTATCATGCTTTTGCGTCATGTGTATATTTATGTACTTATTTCATTTATCCATAACTTAACTTAGTAGTTGGTATTTTCCATTATTATCCTAATATTATATATATTTTCACTCTACCGGAAATTAACAGGCATACATAAATGCTTAGTCATACTGCACATCACAAAGCAGTTAAAAATGCATGGTGATGGAACTGAAATGTTGAAGTACCTACCTGCTAATAATGTTATGTTTCGGTTTTATTTCGAGGTGTTTAGTGAAGTACTTTCAACCACTAACTTCTCACAAGACGCTTAATGCTTAAAACAGATTTAAACACAGTATGTAATAGATACTGTAATAAAATGTCATCGCATGCATTGTGTACAAAGGAAGTTTAGGGTATTGACTCTCCACTGATAATAATATGTAGGTATGTATTAATTAAAGCAAGTACAAACATACAAAGCGTTCCATATTATATTTAAACGGACTATTTTATGCTTCTCTCTGCCTGTCACCCATAACGTGACGTATAGTTTCAGCAAATTCACAGTCCCCATTTCCTATGCCATTTTCCCATAGATAACAGTAGGTTGTGTGTCATAAAACAGAGATGATTACTCACCTATAGCATAAGGATGCTGGTACAAAGGAATGGTACCCAGACAATCTATCTTCAGTAAATTGCAAATTGGGCAATTGGCGAAAATTGCAACGCGGAAACATTATTTATTAACTGAATTACCTTTGATGACTTGAGCACTTTAGTAATGGTAGATAATGGCCATCTAGTTAGCATAATATCCTAATGAAATGTCGAATTAGCGTACACGGAAAGCCAGGCCATTATTAGCAGTTACACTCTTTTTATACCTTTCTTCCTATCTTTCAGGTGCCATGCATTCATGAAAAATCTTTACAGATCTGCATTTCTTTTCAATTTTTCGCATATTCTAAAATGATGTTCAATCGATTACCAACACTGTCAAGAATATTATGCTTCAATTTAAGAGAAAAAAATCGAGCCGCCGTACGCCATTTAGGTATAATGGAAGCAGGGAGATAAAGGACCTCACACTTATCCTTTGATAACATTATGTAGTATTTTTGAAAGATGTTTTTTCAACATTTTCAAAGGTTTTAAAATCAATAATTTTCGATATGCATTTAATAAAGCGACCTAGTCTAGTCTAGTTCCGAGTTTCCGCAATACAACGCCTACTTGAATTTGCAATGACACTGACATGATGTTATTTTAATTTAAACAATTTAGGTAATACATCTAATCATGGTCTTAATAAATGAATTGATCGGTAACTTTGGAAAATATCACTGGTTTTTGTGTATAATTATATTTGCCAATAAAGTCGGAGTCGCGTTCCATCAGATGGCTATTATTTTCTTGGCTCCTCCTGCGGAGTATCATTGTCCTGACAGAAACGAAACCTGTTGTGATAATCCAATCTACGACAAATCTAAGTATTCCAGAACCATAGTCATGGAATGGAACTTGATATGCGAAAGAGTTTGGCTGAAGGATTTAACGCAGACGTTTTTTCAATTTGGTGTTCTCGGTGGTAGTCTGGTTTTCGGAATGGCATCAGATAAGTAAGTCAGTGTGCTGTATTTTCATGGTGTGAATTTAATTTATGTGGGCTAAATAATTTTTCAGGTATGGCAGAAGACCTTCCTTGTTGGCATCTGTTATTATGAGCGTGTTTTTTGGAATAATGTGCTCATTCCTGCCTGATTTTTGGAGTTTTACCATAGTGAGAACAGCTTTAGGCTTTGCTGTTGGAGGAGTGATGGTGATAGGGTTCGTGATATTGATGGAGTATGTGGGAAGTGCGAAAAGAGATCTGGTATCGGCGCTGTACCATGTTCCGTTCACACTTGGCTATATAGTACTCGCTGTTTTCGGATACTTTATACGGGATTACATGTACTTCCTGTTGGTGATATCCTTGACAAATGTTATTCTACTGGTATACATCTGCATATTACCAGAATCTCCGAGGTGGCTTTTGGCTGCAAACAAAACATTTAAGGCCATAACTTTGATGGAGCGTGTAGCTAAGATGTAAGTTTGATTTCGTAATTATTCACTCGTTATAAACCTTAAATTATTGATCTAGAATAACTAGATAACAGTTTGTTTCAGTAATAAATTGCCTACGGATGAAATTCAGCACAAAATTGAGTTTTATCAATTGGAGCACCGAAGTAAGAACCAGAGGAAAGGCTCCCTCATTGATTTATTTCGCACACCGAATATGAGGAAGAATATATTGGTGATGTCATTCACCTGGCTCGTGTGCAGTTACTGTTTCTATGGAATGGCCTATTACATTAGCCATTTGACGGGAGATGTTTACGTTAATGTCATGGCCAGCGGCATCGTGTGCCTGTGCGCATGTCTAATTGCTATACCTCTGATGAAGTTTTTGAAACGCAAGACGCTTGTAGTATTTTCTAATTTGGCAACAAGCTTTTGCTTGCTGATAATAGCAGTAGTTCCTGAGGGCACAGCTTCCCTCGTTTTTGGAATCATTGGAGTTCTCTTTAGCTATATGATATTTGTTGTAGTATATCTGTATTGTTCAGAAATGTTTCCAACTGTAGTCCGAAATGCCGCTTTTGGGATATCTTCCATGATGGCTCGAATAGGTTCTATGATAGCTCCGTTTGTGGCTGATTTCAGACCTTTCGGTAAATGGTGTGCACCCGTAGCTTTTGGCATTTTTCCACTGATAGCTGCATTGTTATGTTTACTTTTGCCAGAGACAAAAGACTGTGAGTTAATGATGACATTAGAGGAAGGCGAAGCGCTTGGTAAAAAGCGAACAAGAGAACGGGACGCCGGGGTAGATATAGCTGAGGATGATGTAACATAGGATTGATATTAATATAATTCAAGCATTTCATAATAAAATAAAATTGAAGACTATTAACATTTATTTTTTGTCTTGTGTTACTGTATGGAATAAGTCTTAGAAATCTGTTTCATAAAGATTTTATGAAAGTGGTTAGTAAAATATTTACAGTGAATTTCATGGACAAAATGGAAAAGTTAAATTTTATGTAGTCTCTTACTATCACAGAATTTACGCAAACTTGTTTATTTCTATCTAAAGCAACGCATAACAATAGATAAACGCACGTTACTTTGCTAAGCCCTTACAAATACATAAACCATAAAGATTGAAGATAATACATAATACCTAAACCTAGCTATTTAATTTTTTATAGGTAATTAGGTATAAAATTAAATTTTACTCGGATTATCGTGGCTTGCATGCGAAAAACAACATTTCATGAAATAATATGATTAATCCTTTCTTGTAAATATGAGTTACGTAGGTACGTATTTTGTTGTTAAATAATTATAACAGATAATGGCAGCATAAATAATTAATTTATGTAAAGCATAACGATAAAATAACTGCAATTTTTCCCTAATCTTCATGTCAGTGCGTCGCACAGGTCCCACTAGTTGTACCTATGTTTTTCATGTTATCTAAGGCTGAAGCTGTAATGGGTGGATCCAATTTCCTACCAGCGTTACGTCACAATTTACGGGGAACTCGAATAAGGTTTTAAGACAAGGTGGCATATTATAATAAGGTTTAGTGGGTCACGTAGGGGTTCTAATCCCCCGGCATGGGTGCGGCTTCGCGGCCGCTCGGCCAGTGCGAGCCAGCGAGGCCATGGCGGCGGGGCTCCTGCTCTGCCTGGCTTGGTACTACACCATACTTGCTGGTAAGACCGAATCTCCGTAAGTTCCATAACAACCTACCTCTAAGGCTCATACACGAAGAGACGATGTTTGTGCCATTTTTTTTTCTTTTGTCGCATTCCGTTCGAACCCTTTGCGAAGAGAACTGAAACTTGAAAATCTAGCATCATAACATATCCCTGGACGCTGATGTATTGTGTTTTAGTTTTTATCACCGTTTTAGTTTGAAATCAGTGAGGTGTATTTTTGTTACAATTTTAATACCATTTTGAATAAACGCTATTAATGACGACCTTTTTGGTATTGCAAGAATAAAATAAGTTTGTTTTAACAGGTTTTTACGTGCTGTATTGCCCTCTATTGTACATAATATTTTTGAATCATAACTGGTACAGAAAGTTGGCAGATGTTCTGTTTGCGCTTTGGGAACTTTATCCTGTGGTAAGTGAAAACTTATGCTAACTTAGGCCCGATTCGACCAAACTTTTATCCGAGAATAACTCCTGGTATATCTGGCACATTGACAGTTTCAGTATGGGAATTATGTCAAAATGTCGAATAACTGACAATTTATTCTGAGATTAATATTTAGTAGGTACTCTTGTTTTGTCGAATCCACACTTAATAGTTTTCAAGTCCTCTTCTTGACATGATGTAAGTAAAACTAGCTAGGGATAGGATATACTTACCCTACTATTGTAGGGTTAAATTAGATTAAACAAATATTGTAATTTTGTATCTTATAACAATGAAGGAAGGAATTCTTTTCATTGTATCTCTGTGGTAAAATTTTGCCTTCAATATTTTATCAGGTATGTAAGTCACCGCTAGTACGGATAACAGCATATTATTATCAAGCTACCTTACCTAACAGCATATCAAGCTACCTTTATAAATTCTTGTTGCAAAATATACTCTATCACAACTACATAAGATGCCACAGTGTTACGCTTGATGTGCTGTCTTCATTTTTCATGCGATGTTTTCAGGCATTATTCCAGTGTTGCTATAATACTCAATTGCACCACTATGGAGATTACGTGAACCCGGATGAGAAGACCATTATTATTATGAACCATCGCACAAGGGTTGATTGGAACTACGTCTGGATAGCCCTATACCATGCCTCCCACGACCCGGCGCGAGTTGAGACGTGTATTTGTAAGGAAACCACATCGAATAGGGAAAAGAACGACATTCTGGATGTCGTAGCAGGAGGAAGATCCAAAATAAAGTTTGTGTTGAAAGACGAGCTAAAAGTTGTGCCCGGAATGGGTAAGTGTTAACCTTGTTGAAAGTGATAAGTTCTTCAGTAATGTCAAATTATGTAGTCTTTATCAAACTTTGTATTTTGAGCAATAAATAGATCAGCATTATATTTTTTTTAAGAGGGAATCGAACTCGCAACTGTTGAGCTCCACTAGGCAGCCCATTCGTATTATCTGTAAGATCTTTCCAGATAATTCTTATCATTATGTAATACTTTTTTATTTAACTACTTGAAATTGTCAATGTCGAGTGATACTAAAGATAAGCAAAAAACTTCCTGTTCGCTCTATTTGGTATAGGTCATGCAACGAAAGTTGAAGCATGAGGCGAACACGTACTCACACTGATGTAATATTTGAACATAGAACACAAACAGCACATTACACATTCAAGTTCAAATATCGAATACACTAGCTGCCTCGCTCTTGTTAAATGTCTGTAAGTGAGACAGTAATAAAGCACTTGTCAGTCCGACTACTCAAGATGCCCATTGCAGACAGCGTATTGGGAACGTGCGAAGTGGGTGGAAGGGGTAAAGAAAACGATCGCTGCGCTCGTCGCGGCACAAATGTGTAACATTATGGGCAAGAGAAGCAAACAAACTTGTCTTGTCATTGTCAATGTTGTTTTGATTTTAATGTGATTGTGTTAATTTATTCAATTTTATTGATGATATTGTACATGTATGTTGTGTTTTAGTTAATTTACAGCCTCCAATCTTTTCCAAGAGTAATACTGTTGTAAAAGGTAAATAAAATTCAACTGTCGAAAAACATAACTGTTTTTTATTTTATAAAGTTCTGCACTTATATTTTTATCATTATAATATTAAATTAACACTTTCTTATCAGTATCATTACTGCAGTCTGCAACACATCCAAACATAAGAAGTTAGCATAAATTGGAGATATTTGACGTAATATAGATTGTGGTTCACAATAGTCAGTCTTAGATACTGATCCAAACATTTCTTGAAAATAGCTCCCTTTGGAATATTTACAAGCTCCAAATTGACGAATAATGGGTTCTCCCCATTGATGTTCGATGCTCGTTTTTAAATTACTAACTTTGTTGTGAATGCAACATATTAAAGCAGCAACATGTTTGCACTTGCTGCTCTGGTTATAAACGCAGCTGCATTTTACTCCTGTGACAACCCTAGCATGATCGATCTGTAATAAATGCAATGAATATTAATTTTATTACTTTCTCTAAATCTTTAGTCATATTTTTAGGTTAGGTGAGTACTTACGTTTAAACTTGTTTTATAGGGTGTCGAGGTCACCGATGTTTGACGAATGATGGTGGCTCAATAAATAACTATTGCCATTAGTTCTCAGCTCTTCTACATTCCTCACATGCTCTGCTAGCACCAATTTTTTTCCTTTTAGCTGAGTTTGGGGTTGGAAACATAATGTGTGTTTTACACACTCAAAACCTGTTTTTATAATGACGTCCATTTCTCCGTAAACAGTTTTTATCAAATTCCATTCAACGTACCATTTATTGTCTTTTAAAGTATATTTTATTTACTCTAATCAATAAAAATAAGAAAGCTGTTGTTATTTATTTTTTGACATATGCCCCTTAAAGTTTCGTTGGCAGATGGCGCTAGTGTCGTGCACGTTCCCAATACAGATACAAATCTTATTTTGTGTTGATGGCCTCAAATCTCGTTGAGCAAACTAATACAATTTTAATTTACTTGTGTTCTATTTTGTAGGTTGGATAATGCAGCTGAACTTTTTTTTATACGTCAAAAGAAACTGGCAAGAGGACCAGCTGAATTTAACGCAATTTGTAGACTACTACAAGCGGCTCAAATATGATTATAGAATCATTTTGTTTCCCGAAGGAACGGATTTGAGTGATGAGAACAAACGGCGAAGTGAAAAGTATGCGACTCTTAATAANCTTAATAATTTGCCGGTAACTAAACCTTAATTAATTAACCAATGAAATCATAGCTAAAAAAATTCATATGATGATTTATGATGTAATGAAAATAATCACAAAATAATCTTACTCTAAAATATAAGGTAGGTAAAAAAAAAGTTGCCGTAAAAAGTAGGTAGTTAGGGCAAAAAATACTTTGCAAAACATTGATAGAAAAATTAAAAAATCATTCAATATTTGTTTCTAATTATAGCGTTACACATACGTTTTGCACCCGCGAACTACGGGTTGGGCGGCGCTGTGCTCCCAGCTACGAGCTACGGGCTTGGCGTCCGTCTACGACGCAGCCGTAGCCTACGACGCGCCCGCCCAGACCGAAGGCGACTTGCTACGAGGGCGGATACCGAAACATGTGCATTTTTATTTCAAACGGTAATTTCATTTATTAACCGACTTCAAAAAAAGGAGGAGGTTCTCGATTCGAGTGTATGTTTTTTTCTTAAGACTACCACTTGTAATGATAAGTGTTGGATATTTTCACTTATGAATGCAATTGTATAAGTGTGGCAAAATTATGACGTCACGACCTTCAATTTTACGTTTAGGTAGGCCTACTGTACACACGGCCACACTGTTAATAATCCATTTCCGTTTTTGCTCTCGCTTTAATCAAATGGTGATTCTTTGCGATAGAACGAGCTGACATGACTGGCAATGGGCAGTTAACACTTGTCGATAGTACTTGAATCTATAAAATAAAACCTAATAAAGCTAAATGACTACTTGCTTGATATTATTGATTGGAGTTTTATTTATTTATTTAAAGACTTTATTGCACACACAACAATGTTCTGTACAAAAAGGCGAGCTTAATGCCATACGTCATTCTCTACCAGCTGACCTTGAGCAAAACAGTTTTGATTGCAATGTAAAACAAAAGGTACTTTTTCTAACATGTATCTGCTATTTTAGGTACCCAATAGAGCAACTCCCGCTGGAAGAAGATGATCTCCGAAAATGGCTCAACCAAAGGTGGAGTGACAAAGAAATTAGTTTACGAAAATTCCACGAAGAAGGTGAGAAATTATCACGTATAAATAGTTGTTAACTGACATAACTTTATTTAGTACAGTGGGTCTAGACAAAGTGCACATTATAATCGCAAACCAGTCGAAAAGTGGTCGAAAATCCTTTTTTTTTTGTATGGAGTTTTGACGGATTCGATTTTCGATTCGATCAAAAAGTGCACTTTGTCTAGTCCCATCACAGGTGTACGTATAGGTGTACCAGAATCTCATGGCAAATAGGGAAAATAAACTTTGTTGAGAGCAATACTGGGGAAATTGGAATAAACGATCTTGATACTGTTTAATTTTTTACTTTTATGACTAATATTAATGAACATGAAGTACGAATATACATTTTAGGTAGGTATGTGTATGAAGAATGTTGTTATACATAGGAAAATGTCTTGAAAATTAAACAAATCGTCTGTGAGAAAAGAAATGTCTGAGAAATTAATTATTTTAATTACCTACATATTTTCGCGTGGAACTGAAACATAGGCGGTGTCGTTCTTTTTGTATATGGCCAGGTCTCGGTTATTTAAAAAAAAGGTTACAAAATTTTACTATAGTTCCAAAATACTGAACTGTCCTATGCATGACATTGACAGTGGGGCGCCACCGTCAATGCCGGATCGCTGGTTCCGATTTTTGCCATGTTGGAAACCATATAATTGAACGATGGTAGCGCCCCCCTGTCATTGAGTTTGGTGGTGGGACAGTTCAGCGTGGATCATCTATAAGAAAGAATCTTGAGTGACCCTAGCTGAAAAATTAAAAACTGCTAGATTTAAAAAAAATGAACTGGCTGGATCATGGTGATTTACTGTTTGTACTCCGAATGACTGTGTGAATACACCGATCAAAATGGCGTGAATAGTTATGCGCAACTTTAGGGTCCTGTAACGTATTTATTTGTAGAGATATTTTCATGATTATTTCACAATTATTATTAGTTCTACTTATATTTATTTCAAGTTTAAAAATTGGAAACTTCTTCATTATTCAATCTTGCTTTATGAAATCTTTTGCAATTTTCTTTACATGGTCATAACATCTGCACCAATTTGTGAGATATACCTGAAAACCCCGATAAAGCAGCTATTAACTAAGAATAATATAAAAAAACACAACCCTCCTTCTCACACAGTTGGGTAATAAACTAAATGTATCAAAACATTTCAGTCCAACTTACTGTCAACTCGACGACGAGCTTTAGAATCAAAGATCGACTTTGAATTATGCCTTATTTTACAATTCACATTGAAAACAATATGCCTTGCTTGAACTTTTTCGACTTTTTCCCAAAAATAACAAATAGTCAAGAAGAGATTACAAAAAAATTGCAGCGGCTGACAGATTTCATAATTTTCTTTGACAGGTGACAATTAAACCATAGACAATTGCCATATGAAAAACACACTTTTCCAATATTTTTGTTTGCCATGAGATTCTGGTACACCTATAGGTATTTGTTTTCCGTAACGATACATCAGTTCACAGATTACATTAAGGCTGGGTTGCACCATCTTACTTTAGCTATAACAAACATCAAACGTTTGTCAAACTCTATGGAATTAATAAAGTAAGGTGCAGTACAGCTCAGCCTAAGGCTAAGAACTCATGGCGCGATTTTCACCCGCAGCTTCTGTAAAAACTGTAAAAACTAATGCACAACTCACGACGCGGTTTTCGCGCGCAGAAACCGCGCGAAAACCGTCCGATCGGCGGGCGACCATTTTGTACCAGTGAATTAGCGCGCGGCGCGATTTTCACCCGCAGCTGTGGCGGGCGCGGGTGAAAATCGCGCCGTGAGTTCTTAGAATAACCGCGCAAATAACCGCTCCCGTGAGTTTTGAAATAAAACTGCAATTCCACAACCACCGCGGGCGCGCGTGAAAATCGCGCCGTGAGTTCTTAGCCTAAATGTTGCAAACGACATTTGTGGAGCACGTGGTAACAGACTAATTTTGAATCTTAGTATCAATGAAGAATACTACACACTCAGTATGACAAATTCAGAAGAATCATGTCTGATTGTAAACTTTTTCAATTCGACGGAATAAATATAGTTTAGTCTGTTGCCTCCCAAGTGTTTGATAATATTATCTGTATACCTACCTATACAGTTAGCGAATCCAAATAATATGTCATATATTTTATCTCTGAAAAAATAATCGTACATGGGTTTTTTAATTCAAATCACTCGCGTAACGCGTAGTTCGTGCCCACACTATACCTACTCACTTTTACATAGATACTTACCAATAGGCTGACAAGTTTCTTTCCCCCTATTGCGCGGCTTATGGCCAGTAGTAGACTGACCTGGCTCACTGTGACATCAGTCTGTAACTCGTTAACAGGTTATACCTGTCTGATCAAACCGTCTCGACCAGAAGGGCGCGTAATCCTCATCACGCATTGGTTCCCGCTGAAAACCAGCTTCTCGGCATGACGTTTGTGTCATGTCGCGACTTTTGCTGAGTGGGCGCCTATTCAGCATATGTTTTTATTTATTTTTTATGTTTAGGTACTTACTCTTGCTCTGTATACCTTAAATTGTGCTGAATAAAGACATTCTCATTCTTATTCTTTAAAGATAGGATTACCTATTTAGTATAGTAGTATTTTAAGAGCTAGGTGATGTCCCGTCTAGGGTTGCCAGGCGTCCGGCTTTAGCCGGACATGTTTGGCTTTTTAGGGTCTTGTCCGGCCAAATATTACCTTGTCCGGCCTGTCCGGCTTTTGTTAGGCTTTATTTAGCAACCGATGATGATTGTACTCACTTATGAGCTGACACTAATTTCCCCCCCCCGTCACATGTCCGGCTTTTAGGGTAAAATGTCCGGCCAAATGAAACACAAAGTCCGGCTTTTGTGATTTTGGACCTGGCAACCCTGGTCCCGTCCTATTTAAATAAACACATTTTTCTGTCTTTCAGGAGTGTTCGTGGATCCAACTACTAGAAAATTTCCCATAGAGAGATTACCAAGGTCCATGAATGCAGCCCTGATGGCGTTTACATTCTGGACCATAGTTGATGTCATATTTTTGTACGCTATGTTTAACAGCGTTTTGTTCCAGTTTTGGGTATTATATCATAGTCTGTTATTTGTTTTCGTTACTCGTTATTTTGGAGGGTTTCAGAATATTCAATATCAATTGTTATTAAATAGGCTTAAGTTTCAATAAATCCAATTTTAGTAAATTTTATTAAGCCACTGTGAATTCTCATTATTGCCAAAATACATAACTACGATTGTAAATAAAATACGTTTGTCGGTCTTTTAACTGGATTCTTGTTAAAATTGCGTGGAGTAATTAAGTCGTTAATATTGTTGTTCTTAATAATAATAATAGATCATAAAAAATAGTTTTTTTATTACTATTAGTCTGTAATTGAGTACGATGAGAAAATCTCGATGTTTATTGTTAAGGTCATATTAATAAGAATATTAATTATGAGCAGTATTTATGTATATTATGTGTTTTTTAGTTGAAAACAAATAAAAAAGTAGTGTAAAATATATTAATTTAATGAAGTAGGAAGTTTACAGTCTAGAGGAAGTTCGTTCGAAATTGTTTTTTTATTTGTTTTTTTTCCTTTTGTGCTGTGTGCAATTTCGGTTTGTTCAATAGAATTCAACAATATAATATCATTTGTCTCAGGAAGCATCCAACATAGGGCCGCAGCACATATAGCTACAGAACTGAATATTAATATGGAAACCCATTCTATTCCAATGTTCACCACGAATGGGGCTATAAAGCCACCTATTCTGCCAAACGTTGAACACATTCCCATCGCAGAGTTCCTTATAATAGTAGGAAATATTTCCGAAGTGAACAAATACGTTAACACAAAGGCACCAAAGCCGCCTATCTGACCTATTATTGCAAAGGCTAGAATAGTCGACTCCATATTTTTAGGTATAATTAAAAAAACGAGTAATGCTGAACCCGTAATGGCAAAGCAAGTTATAACGCTTATTTTTCTTTTTAGATATAAAGATGCTATCACTATTAATACTGGTGCAGGAGTTAAGGCAGCTGCCGACAGAAGAACATTGAGGTAGATATTACCTTGCAAGCGCCCGATGTATTGGTTAATGCCAGTGTATATTAAGGTACAACTAGTCCACACTAAAGGAGTCAATATTGAGTACATTCTTATCTTAGAAGTTTTGAATAAATCAGCATAGGAACCCGTTCGTTGTTGTGGATCCTTCGGTATTGACTCGGCTTCTATTTGATCAACAATGGCTTCGATATTTTCCACCGGCCGGTTGTTTCTGCAAATAAACAGAAAAATACACGGAATGAGTGTATTTATGTTACATATAGCACATACCAACCGAAATTATTCAAAATATTAATTAAGAAACGTACCTCTTTGCTATGTTTGTTAGGACAACAACAGCTTCTTTTTTCTTACCAACAGTAATTAGCCATCTCGGTGATTCGGGTATAAGCCAGTAGTATAAGACGACTATAAACCAAGGTGCACATGTGACTAGTTGTAGCTGTTTCCATTCCCTTACAAAGTATGCTATTATGGGTAATATAATGTATCCACAAACATACGCTATTTCGGCCAGTCCCATCATGTAAGGCCGAAACGACTTTCCGCTTAATTCTATCATCATGACGAAGCAGCATAGCATTGTTCCTCCCAGGGCGAATCCAGACAAAAAACGGCACATCATAAACATCCATAATTGGGTGGAGAGGGACGACAGCGCTCCGAATAAAGCATTGCAGAATAGTGCTAGAAGAACTGCTACTCTTCGGCCATATCTACAAACAATAATCAGAGAAAATTAAACATGTTATATTATAGGAGTGGGTACCTACTATCGATAGTAATAAAACTAGCACATAGTTAAATTATGTAAAATCTGTAGGTAAACCAGAGAGTGATTGCCCACTGGTAGTGATTGCCCGCTTTAAGAATAATATTGTCAGGTGCTGACTTTGAATCACTCTAGTTAGATTTGAATTTACTAAGTAGATGGCACCGAGATCAATGTACTTGTAGATTTAAAATTAACAATAGGAAACACTTAAAAAAACAGTCATGGCGGATTTTGTCAAGACGGGTGAAAATGTTACTCAAACAGGTAAAGACTTTAACAATTTTACTAAGGAATTACTAGCTTAGAGGTTAAAGGACATCATCCATTTTGGTCCAAAATCAAAAGTGCCGGCCAAAAAATAAAAGGCTGTACAAGATGTATCCAACAATTTATCTACAAGATAAATTGCTGAAAAATATGGTTTGGCTTAAAAAAATTCAAACGCAAATACAAAAAATGAAAATCCTACGTTAAATCTACTAGTGAAAATGTTAATTGTAAGGAAATAGATACAACTTTAGGGAAGAATAACCAACAGCGAATTGAACATTTTGAGCAACCACTTGAACTGATATCAAAGAAGATAAAAAAAAATACATATAAAATTCAAATTTTTGCGTCATCTTTGTTTTGAAGTAGATGATTCTGTCTCTACCGATTCTGACTCATCAACATCAGCTCAAGAATTTGATAATATAGTTAATAAGGCCAAACGCAATTTATTTTGAAATTTTGAAGACTGTACTACTAGAATTTAAGTTTAATGTTTTGTTTTGTTTATTTAAAGCCTATTTTGTCATTTTAAAATTGATTATTTTGTTTTAAGATACTGGGCAATTACTGTGCTTTGATGTGGGCAATTAGTGTAAGTAATGGGCAATGACTGTACTTTTTGAAGGATTTTAAATTTATTTCAATATTTTCTAAGTTACGTAAGTTTTAACTAAAAACTGTTAATATTCTGTTTAACAGTTTATTGAGTTATAAGAAAATAGTCATAAAAGGTCGATAACTAAAATACTTTCTTTAATTTTTCATCTCAATGTGTTTGAAATGCTTAAGTGGGCAATAGCTATACGGTCCTATAGATATCCTATTTTAGATTTACTTTAAAGTAAAACGGAGGAATAAAATGAATGAGAATTTGGTAACACTCGAAAAGCCTGGAACATAGGCCAGCACAACAGACTATTTTTTTTTTGTAGCAGAAGCGTTATTCGTATTACACAACGGCATAAGATGTCACAGTGTTTAGCTTTTCTTGATGTGCTTTCGTTTGTAGTATTATACTTAAATCTTTGATAATTTACCTGTCAGAGATGAATCCGTAAATCAAGCTCCCTGCTCCGACTCCAACTTGCAGCATTGACTGTGAGAGACTTGCCCATGATTTTTTGTTACATATCAACTGAAAATCACTTGTGATCGAGGTGACAATAGTGCTGGTATCAAATTCCGGGTTTTGGCATGGACAGTAGTTGGTTGCATTGTTTACGCCGTCATCCAAGCACGTGTAATCTGCCTTAGGTAGCAAGAACACTACATTGCTCAATTGGAACTCCCCAGGCAGACGAGCCAATGTTATAAGGAAAAGTATCCAAGCCTGGTATCTTCCAAAGCGGCCGATTGCTTTCTCTATCCCATCTTCACCGTGTAATTCCATTTTTAAGAATTTTTACACACAGTATCACACGTTAGAGTAATGCACACACTATGACAATCAAGAATAAACTACAGTAGTACTACATGAGTACAAATAGTAACGCGTGGTAAAGATAAAACCGGTATTACGGTTCACTTGATACGTACTTTACACAAAATTGCGATAAAATGTATGCCAGCAACAGACGGAGATGAGCGTCTTTATCTTATGAGATGGTTTAACTAAACAAAGAACAACATATATTAAAATCTTGATTTAAAATTATTGATAGGTACTACTTAATGATGCCATCGGTCGTACTTTTTGTTTGTTATTGTTCATTTGTTTTCCTGTCGTCGTGTCGGCGTTCACACACGAACAGCATTTTGCTGTCGACGCAGAACCGGATAGCGAAATTTATTCATATGCGTGTTGTTTACTTAAACTTAATACTTTTATTTATTTTATTTAAAAATATTACCAAAAAGATTACACCACATACCTACTAGATAAAACAATATTAAGGGCTGATTTTTCAATGGTCGGATAACTTTTAACTGAAGAATAAGTTTGGCATATTGACAGTTTTAGTATGGGAAATATGTCAAAATGACAAAGTTATTCTTCACTTAAAAGATATCTGACGATTAAAAAATCAGCCCTTAGTAATATAAAATAAAACACTAACATAATATAAAATAGTGAAAGCAGTTTCATTGCTGCCTTTGCTGGATGTACAATATTTTTAAAACTTAAGATTCTTTTTTGCATTTGTGTCTGATTTGTGTGTAGTGAAAATAAAATAACATATAATATTGTGCTACACTTTATTTACTTAATTATCACAGCCTTTATGTACCTTTACATAGACAATCAATTGCATGGTTGAACTTAGTTCTAGCCTATTGCCTATAGGGAACAATATTATGGAGCGTAGCTAATTCTTAAAATTATGTAAAAAGATCTCGTAATAGTCAACACAACAAAGGACTTCACTAACTTTCCAAAGTTAAAAATAAATTCCAACGAATACTATTTTGTCATAACACTCATCATTACATTGAGTAACATTTAAAAATACGTCGATTAATTCTTACACAAGGCACATTAAGGAATACTTTGAGAAGATTAATAAAATTATTTGCATTATAAAAGCCTTAAATACGTTTAGCGCTAGATGAGATTACGCTTCGCCCTCTTCTAGTGTATCTGGGAGTTTCTTGCCGCGGGTATCAGGTAAGATGACACAGAGGCCAGCCCCGGCAAGCGGAATGAGGCCAAAGACCAGTGGTGGCAGCCATGGGCTAGTTTTAGATAGAGTCGCCACGAACGGGGCGATCATGGACCCTATTCTCGCGACTGTAGACGACAGGCCCACTCCTGAGTTCCTGACGACTGTTGGGAACAGCTCTCCAGCGTATAGATACACTGTGGCGAAAGATATGCTGGTGCCCCACAGGCCGATGCAGCCGAGACTCAGGTGGCTGGCCCCGGAATGCGGCACGATCATAATCAGTAAGCAGCTCAAGCCAGCTATGCAGTTGGAGGTGATCAATGTCTTCTTTCTGCCCAATAATCTGTTGGCGTATATTGAGACCAAGGTGCCTGGAATCTGAAAGATGAAAACAAGTTTTATGTTGAAAATACTTTATAGGTTAAGACATTATGCAAAAATTACAGTGTTTTTCTACATTTTTATAAACAAGGAGATAAGACTAATTAATAAAATTACATGAATTGTAGTTAAACATAATATGCGTAGATAAATCATGTTATGACTTTAGGCGATTTGTTTTGTTATTGATGACTAATATTGTCAATTATACAAACAGCAGATCTCTTGATTCAGTTAATGTCCTTTGTGTCTATTAACAATCTCTATTAACAATACAACTATGGAATTTCTAAGTAATATAAACTGTAATATCTTACAACCTGTCTATTAATTCATAAAATGTCCTTTTGTTCATCAGCAAGATGAATATTTGCACGATGACCTTCGTGGTCTAGTAACTTTGATTATAAGACTGGTAAGTAAGAAAATTGGAATCGTAAAAAGTGTCTTTGATGACCACAGTTTTTAGTTTATGTATTCTATTACCGACATAGCCCGACGGATTAGCAAGCTGAAGTGGCAATCGGCAGGGCACATAGTACGTTGAACTGACGGCCGATGGGGCAGCAAGGTTCTGGAATGGAGGCCGCGTACCGGAAAACGCTGTGTGGGACGTTCGCCTACAAGGTGAACCGACGACATCATAAAGGTAGCAGGGAAGCGCTGGACGCAGGCCGCTACCAATCGATCAACATGGAAAGCATTGGAGGAGGCCTATGTTCAGCAGTGGACGTCCTATGGCTGAAATGATGATGATGATGATGATTTTATTACCTGGATAGCAGCAGAGATAGCGACGTTAGTGAATATGTTTCCGGAGACGTGGCCGATGTACTGCGACACGCCGAAGAAGCACAGCCCGCACACGAACCAGTTGAAGCAGATGGCAGCGGTGCGCGCGCGCAGGCGTGGCGTTCGGAACAGCGCCAAGAACGAGGCGTGCTCCTCCACTTTATTGCTCATTTCCACAACCATCTTCTGCGTGGACGACGCAATGCCTTCTGTTGGGAGGCCGTTCCTGTAAACGAGGATAGATGTTATTTTTCAGTGTTTATGAGTTTATTTATAAGAAAAAAGAATTTATTCAGTGTGTATTAAAACTTTTGCTTAGTTGAACACAAGATGGACGGTGTAAAATGTCCTAGTATGTTTTATTTGTATTTAAGATTTGAGGATGAAAAGCTTTATACAGTGTGAGTCACGTTAAAGTGTACATATGAAAATAGATGAAACTAGACCTATTTTTATCGACAAAAAAGAGGACAAAAATTTTTTGAGATTTTTTTTAAATTTTTTATAGATTTTTTTTTCTTCCAATTACTTGTTGTAAAGAAAACGTAATAACTTTTAAACTAAGCGGTATATCCTGATAAAATAAAAATAGTAATAATGCAAAATAACAGGCGATACTAAAATAATACATAAAATACACAAAAAATGCCAACAAATAATAAAAAATGATACTTTTTGAAAAAAATCTGCTTAAAAATTCGTGTTTTTTTGGTTATTTGATAAATTTCTCCAAAAAATGCCCCTATAACTGGTAGTTTTTATTACTTTTTATTATTCTCTATCGTATTATCTTTGTAAAACCAAAAATCGCATGTCTCTATCCCTATCACAACATTTGCTATGAAAGTCTAACATGTTAAGTTTTCAATGGCAAAGTTTCAATTAAATTGTTTAAATTTTAGAGGTAGAAAATATTGTTCAAGCAAGCGACGGTATGTCTATGGACAATCACAAAAAGCTACGTATTTTTTTCGCGGAGCGACGATCGACCTATCTCACCTCCCCAATGGTCGAAGCGTGACTGACGTTAACCGAATAGAACGCTGTGATTGGTTGCTGGTATTCGGTTTAACGGCAATCTTATATTATAACTCAAAATTTTAGGTACCTAAAATCCTGTGACCAACGTATTTCGCTTTCTCAATTCAAAATAATTATAAGAAGATATTTTTTTGACTATTGTGTGGAAAGTATATTTAATTACAATGATTTTAGTATGATTTTAGCAATTCTGCGAGCTATGTCGGTTACTTTGGTTCTCCTACGGATCTCCTCATTTCAAGTTCTCGAGTGGCGACCACGGACTGGAAAACGTAGCGTGGGCAGGCCTCCTACTAGGTGGACCGACGATCTGGTAAAGGTCGCGGGAAGAGCCTGGATGCGGGCAGCGCAGGACCGTTCATTGTGGAAAACCTTGGGGGAGGCCTTTGTCCAGCAGTGGACGTCATTTGGCTGAAACGAACGAACGAACGAACGATTTTAGTACATGCTACACACAAATTGAATGAAAATTGTGAATGCAGTAACCAAATGTTTCATTGCAACCGAAGGTGTAACACGATGAGAACGCGAAAATGACCCCGTTTTTTATCGTTTCATGTGATTTTTTCGTATTAATTTTGCTTCTATTACGATAAAATTTATTTTGTATGTAGCTAAATAGATATTTTATCATCTGATTTCAAAGGTATTGTTCTAACTTATATCGTTTATGAACTATTATTGTGTGACCATCAAATTTGAGTGTAAATGAGAAGTACCCACTTAGGATATACAAATACCTTATTTTAAAAAATTATAATACTACGGGTACTTATTTAAAGAGGGAATCCTGTCATTGGCTATACCAGTCTAAATCGTATAACTAATATTTTCAATGTATCGCTGTTGGTTTCTTTTTATTAAATAAATCAGGAATTGAACTGAATGTCTTAATGACTGCAAGTTTTCGACTTCCAACATAAATAATTTACTCTGCAATCAAAAACTGGTTCGCAGTTTCGCACAATCTCTCGGGTTAGGCAATTTGGTGTCAACGGGCTTATAGTACTTGTTTCCATTACACTTATATTAACGCAGATATTATAGTGTCTATTTATGTTAGACTTGTTTTTAATGAATCTATAGAATGGAAAAATTCGTGAATATTTTACCTTTTAGCTGCAACTTCCATGATTTTAGATGCTTCATCGGCTTTTCCAGCGGTCAATAGCCATCTTGGCGATTCTGGTAGGAAGAAATAGTAGCTGAGGAACAGCACTGATGGAAGAGATATAGCTAGCTGGAAAGTGCTCCAATCCCGTAGGTAGTAGCCAAATAACGGCAAGGACAAGTGCCCAATGTTGAAGGGAATCTGGTAGATAATGCCAACGCTTTCTCTGTACTTGGCCCCAATCAGTTCCATGGTGAGGACGAAGCTGGTGACCATAGTTCCTCCAGTAGCAACGGCGAGGAAGAACCGTAGAGTCGTAAACATGTACCAGTTCACGGAATATGCTGTAGTTACACCAGCTATCAGCTGGAGAAAAACTGCGGCAAGGAAAGGCATCCGACGCCCGAACCTGTAAGTAAACATAAAAAAGCTATCAATAAACGTTTATGTTTAGATATTGCATTATAATAATCGCGTGAGAGAGCACGCAACAAAACGTGATCTCAGAGGAAGTTTTATCGCAAACAGATCAATGCCTAAGGTTATCTTTCTGATATCCGTAAATTAAGATCATATTTTGGTTCCCAGAGCAAGGTACATACTGTAGCCTACTTGCGGTAGCTACAATTCGGCAATTGTGGGACCGACGAAAATAGAACGCTCCCCTTTCAGGCGTCATTTGCTAAACTAATCTCATCCGGCACCCCGATATATCTTAATCTTACAATAGCGAACAGGATGTGCCAATTTATTCGAGATGGTTGTAATGCTTTAATACGATTTGCACAGTGATTCTCACAACTGACCTGTCAGAGAGATGTCCAAAGAGCATGTTCCCGACGAGGATTCCCAGCATGAAGATAGTTTGAGTGAGATTCTTCAGCCATTCTCTATTACACACGAGGTTCCACTGAGATATGATTGTTTCCTTGAATATGCTGTGATCATAATCATAGTCAGTACAGTTGGCGTGACAAATATTGTCGAAGTGATCGGTCGAGGGGTTTTCAGCGCACGTGAAGTTCGTGGGAGGAGCGAGGAAGATGATGCTCATCTGGTGCCAGGCCACCGGGAACTTGACTAGGAAAACGATGAAGCAAATCCATATTTGCCACTTCCCAATGGCCCCGATTGCCTTCGTGATGGGGTCTTCGGAGGCATTCTGAGACGCGACGTCTTTTGTTTCGTTCTCCAACACTGTAATAAATTATGGCAGATTAATTTTTTACCGTTTTGTAAGTCTCACGTACGTCATGTTTATAAAAAGTTATTGTTTTTGTAGGTAAATTAACAAAAAAAGGTGTTGTCTCTGACTCAGGACTGGTACCTAATTAAAGTGTTGTTTGTAACTTTGATAAGAGGATATACTCATAGTTCTATGACCTTACTATGAAAACAAAACTACGGAAATATTCGCATTCAGTTATGGTCGAGATAAAATACTTATTTTTGGCGAAAATACCAAAGGTAATTTATGGTTCATCACTTAAATCTTTCAAAGTTAATGATCTTGCATCGCTATTTATGTTTTATGCTTAGGTTTTATGTATAAGTGAAACAGGTTTACAAGATATTTGACACCTTTTTCCCTGTTCAATTTCATACCTATTCGCAAAGTGTAACCACTTTATATCTAGAGTGTAACGATTGCACTCTCAATGAGATAATATCTTGTTACCACTTGCGTTCAATGTTCCTCACGTGTCAAACGTCAAGGAGTCCTTTATACATCTAACAACGTGTCCAGTTACACCCAAGACTATGCACGTTTTGTCATAATTAAAAAAATATTTCATACAGAGAGTCTCTATGTATATTTTCCCGAGGCGTTAGCGCAGCTTTACGTTACAATAATACATAGTCCACTTGACTGTTAATTTTTTTTTGCAAAAAAGCACAAGCCCAATAAGTGATGCACACTTTTTGTGTAACATAATATTGAGGTAAAAATATAGGTATCCACTAATGTTCTTGTTTTTTTTTTTGTGTTTACGATATATTTTACCTCATTCACCTTGAGTTTCACGTGTTTTTAAAATGTGAGTTTTAATAAAATGAGGTCTCAAATGCAGTGTGATTCGATACGCAGAGTAGATTAAATCCGCAGGTTGGTAGGTAATAATAAATATTCTACAAGATTGGATAACACTCATGGATGTTTTATTCCTTGCATTAGAAACATATTCGCGGCACATGCACGTACCATGATTTAAAATAGGTAGAAATTAAAAAAAAAAACATTATTTTAAGGCGAAAAACAGTGAAGTGAGTGAAGTTATTATAATAGAAGTATGTAAACCTAATTATTACTTGCGTTAAATTAATTTATTTGTAGTAATTAAGAACAAGGTACCTAACTTACATGAGTGATTAATCGGTTTATTTATTTACACCAATTGGTATAATTCCACGAAATAAAATATTTACTTGACGCCTCGTGGCGACTCGTCAGCTCACCCCCGACCCAGAGATATGGGTTGATGTGATATGATGAGCGGGGCGCAGTCTGCCGGCGCAGTAAGTAATCATGATGCAACACAAACACAGACAGTGTGTCCGCGAGGAAACAAGTTATTCATCAGACAACTGCGTACTAGACGCGATAAGGTAAATTGTTGACATACATTCGTCGACACTTTAATACGAACACGATAAACGAAACCATTTTATCGATTTTACGTTCCTCGTGGACTCTCTGTCGTCTGTCTTCCCGGTGACTAAAGAGACCCGCTTTTATATGTGAAAAACAAGGCCCTGACAAGGGTGACTAGGTACCAATAATAAACCGTGACTTTTTTGAAAAGACACTTATTAACTTTGAATTGAATACAATGTTGAATGAATGTTTAAGTACCTACCTACATTACGTAAATTATTTTGTAGTTCAGGATATTATAAAGATTTAACGCGTACTTGTACTATTGCGTTATGTGATAGGCTAATCGTGTACATTGGTCCTACTGATCATAAATAGCTCTTGTGGTAATTATGTGTTTTATCAGCGATACCGATGCAATGTAGGTACTTACTGGCCGAGCCTCCTTCTGACTAACGACCCTACGTTTACGTACCTAGTAGGTAGGTACTATCTACTGGTGTAATTTAGCTTAAAAATTCACATTATCGAAACGTCATGTCTAAGTATCCGATTAAATTGTCTAGACAAACCTAAAGAGGATTTAGGACGCTATTTGGATCAAATATGTAATTGCTCAATAATGAATAATAAATAAATAAATAAAATAAATAAATAAAATACAAAATAAAATCTAACTGCATAAAGTCTCATATTTCTAATACCAATTAAGGTTGAAGTCAATAAATAAATAAAATAAATGTTTTGTAGAGTAAAAACAAACCTAGAGCGTGTGTCTACAAACGCAAAGTAACTACCTAGACCTACCTCCGTTTTTGTATTAGCTATTATCCTCTAAAGTTTCAATTGCCTGCTTCCTGTGATCATCCGAATTGTATTTTAAACGACAATAAAAATGTCATATAGTTGTCCTGACCGTTCTGTGTAGGAGGTAGCTAGGTAGGTACGTAAACTTAAAACTCGTTTTATTTGAATGTTAGGTAAGCTTGCTTATTATATTATAGATTATAGATGTTGCAGGCTATTCAAAAAATATTCTTTAAAATGAAATTGGTTATAGCGTAATTACCTATCTATCTAATTTGACCGAGAAAGATTACTTAAAACTTTTACTTTTACTATAGATAGAGTCGACTAAAGACTGGGATAGAGATTTATGTTTTGGTATTTACTCTTAATTTCTTAAATAAGTAGACAATAATAAAATGTTAAAAGTTAACAATAAGTAAGTATGAGCAGTGAGTTAACTATAATAATATGTATTTTGTATAATTGATATTAAACTAGTTATTAATGTTGACAGGAAGAACGAAAATTATACTCCTTAGTCTGATGATGATTTGGATTTAAACACGCATTTTTTTAGTCTGATGGACGTATAAGTTAAGTAGGAATCTGTATAGTTTAGTACGTATTTAAAGGGACTTATTTTTGTAGGTACGAGAAGGTAGCAACACCACTTTACGCAGACACTACTCGAAGAAATGATGGAAAACTACACTGGACCGGGTCGGGAGAGCGTTCACCCTTGCATGAAGTACGTCGGCCCATAATAACCGCTACTCCAAAAAGAAATTACCTACCAACCTTAAGCTTTTTTCCATAAATTGCACGTCTCGAAATGGTTCCCGGAATAATAATTTACGAGACAACGATTTTGAAGCTAAAATTATTCACACGAAAACTACGGAACTACCTTAAAGTTACTTTTGTTAATAAATTGTGTAAGAACCCTAATATGGGTGATTTCCATTAATAATTAGATTAATAGCGGTTGTAGTACGAGTAGTTACCAAAACTAGTTTCATTGTTATTCATTCATAATAATAGAAGTTCATAGAATCCATATGTAAAGCGAAAGTAAATGTCACTTGCTAAATTAGTATAATTATGATTGCGTTAAATGCGTAAAATCATCTAGTTTGTTAATTTGAAATAGTAAGTTATGTACATAATGCTTATATAATTTACAATCATTACGCCCTATGAACCTTGATTGATTACGATTAGTCATGTCCATTGGGACAGTATGTATTGTAATGGTACAATAACGATTGAACTGTAACTTTCTTGATTCCGGGATAGTACGTATCATCGTTGAACTTTCTGACGTAAGTGACTACGATGTTACTTTACATCAAGATGTCATGAGAGGTCGAGTAGTGTGAAGGCACAATGGAAGCGAAACTTGATCACCCTCGTTAAATTTAACGATAGCGAACGTTTCTTACAACAGAAAATAATGTTTTCAATAACTATAAAAATGGTTGAATGGTGTAGGTAAAGGTAGCAGGAAAGATCGGTTTTGCTCGTGAATGCGGATGTACGAGTAAGTAAGTTCGGTAAATGGAACGTTTCTTGGGCAGATGGTAGAGTCAGAACCTTGACTCCTGTTATCAAGTGTCACCTACTTTTGTAATGTATTGAATTAATAACTAAATAGGTACTTATGAGTACATTCTTATCTCATAGGGGTAAAAAGTAGAAGTAAACTTTATTAAAATATTAAAAATCTGCACTGATAGATAACGCGAAAAATAATTAGGTTTATTATGTATAAGTTTTGATCAGGGTAGTTAGAGTTTAAAGGTAAAGGTCTTTGAAATCTCCTCGTAAAGTAGGTAGTTTAACTTTAAGTAACTTATAATGATTTCCGAGTGACGAGGAGATACGTAGGTAGGAAGTACGTACCTACATCTACCTATTGGGTACTTACATGACTTAAAAAGCTAAAGCGAAGCTTTAGAAAAAGGTGTCTCATCTCTTAATTGTAAATGGGTAAGAGATTTTGCGTCAATACCTACATAAAAAGTTTATCCGTAATAAAAAATATTCACAAAGCGGTAAAAACAAGTTTGTGACATAAGAATTTTCTTAAATTCAAAACTTGGTGTACTTAGTCCAATTTAAATTAACAGATTCTCAAACTACACCCTCTACCATCCTCGAAATTAAGATAAATGGGACTCTTATCGTCAATATTGAACTTGAATGCAATCGGATCAATGTTACTCGGATGTTGATAAACAGGAACGAAGCAAGCAAATGACATTGTGTTAAGAACTTTGATCTTATTAGAGTGAGACCGTTTTAAGATAACTATGTTAACTATAACTACTTAATTTAAAATCATGACTAATTTAACGTGATTGTGACCTAAACTATACAAAATAGAATATTAATTTTCGATACATAAAGCTTGCCCATTAATTGTTCAACTTTGTTTTTTTTTAAGTAGTTAAGCAAAAAAAAAAAATGTAAAAGAAAGAGCGAGTGTTTGAATGTAAAACATCTATTCTACCTATCTACTAGGGCTTTTTCTGTATATTTAAGTTTTAACTAGAGCATAAGTACATATTAAGTATGTTTATATTAGGCGTGTATTATACTCGAGTGATTAATCCAAACTTAGCCTGAAAATACTTTGAAGTACCAAACTGTTGTTAAAATGTAAAAAATATTAATGAAAGTAATCTTGTGTTGTTAAACTTACTTACTACGAAGAATTCAAGAATACAACGTTCCAAATTAAATTTTTTTTAAATTAAATTGAACTTAAAACGCAAACTGATAAAAATTGTTAAATAAATAAAAAAAAAATGACTTACTTTTGAGTGATCCTTATTGATGCACTGTCTTTTTTAGAAGATCACACAAAGCAGCGAGATTGAAACGTAGTCGCAGCGTCTCGGACTGCGGTCCAACACGCATTGATTGCCGGCTCGCTGCGCGGTAGGTATTATCGTATCACATCTTGACTGCGATGACGACACGTCTCCGGTGCCATGACGAGGAAAGCCCCGCAAAAGCTCAGACGCACGTCTGAATTCCGATGCGATAAAAACTCGTTTGTTTGATAACATGAATTATGCATTTTTTTAGAATAGAATAGAATATTGTTGTATTGTAAGTTATATTGTATAGCCTGTGGTTCTATGTTATGTTATGGTTGTATCTCTGTTTTGTACACCAAATAAAATAAATAAATACTTTAATCAATAATGTAGGGTGTATTTTAGTAGTTAGTGTTAATTCTGTTTGTAATTGCGTTATAATATACCTAATTAATATATTAAAAATGAGTTTAATGATTTTACACTTTTCACTTCGTCCTGTAATGCAGGCAAAAATTCACGAGTTCTTGAAACGTTAATGAAAATTACATAATGAAAAGTAGGTATGTGCACCTCTGTAAACGATTCGCGATTAGTATTAAAACTTTTAAGACACGAGAATAGGTATAGTAACAAAGAAGTATCGCTACTTAACTAATTGGATTAAGTAGTTACTCAAATTGTTTTGCAATAAGCTAAGGTAAGTGCCCCCTACTTCGGTATATTAAGGCTCTTACGACTTTAACAATTTATTTAAAAATAACCAAGGATGATATCAGTATGAAAGCTTTTGTATGCTAAAGTTTGGTCTTTTGACAGTAACTTAATACATAAATTATAGTTATATTGTTTAAACTTTTTTTAATATTAATTGTTCTGCGGACCTCTTGTTTGGATCCTGTTTCGTGATAAAATTTTGCTCTGTTTCTAAGTTCGTGAACTCATGTCCCCTATTTCGGGATATAGTTTTACGCATCGAGTTAGGATATTTTAATGATAGATCGCCCGGAGTCCTGCCAGCAGGACTTAAAGTACTTCCGGTAGGACGCAAAATTAAAAGATCACAGTTTCGTAAGTATACATTGTACAAATTTCAAATTTACACGAAAAAATAGAGTGTTTCTCTCTCTTTCACCCAATAGTGCCCAAGATCGAAAAACGCGACTAACCGTTAGTCGGAGCCCGATGGCGCACGAGTATACACGGGGGCAGCGCCTTCGCGCTCGCGCGACACATTTTGACGCGCCGGGCGTGGAGTCGGCAACATTTTGGCGATAATATTATAATGAATGTGAAGTATTCAAGCCTAATCAAACATTTATAATTTATTTCTTGTTTTTGTTTTTAATTTGTAGTGTATTTGTAAGTGATAGGTGTAATTTCTAATACAAAGTGACGTACCAAAGTAATTAATTTAAAGTTCCTTATTATAGTTCCTATTAGTTAAGTTGAAAGAAGATAAACAAGTTTATAATATATTAAGAAAAGTAAAATACTGGTTAAACAAAATGATTCTACGACATGACTTTTTATTTAATAAACACTAACCAAGTGTTTACTACTTCTGGTGAGGATGAGTTCAAATTTGAAGGTCACCGTACTGCTGGAAGGACCAGCAAGCAAACACGTACAAATTGCGTACTGCGGGCAGGACTTGCGATAATCTTCTGGCAGGACGTTTAGAACAAAAGACCAGTCCTTCCAGAAGAGCTTTATCACGAACTTGGGAAAAAGTAACAATAATTACGGTTCCTTGTTTCGTGATACTAATTATTCCAAATTCCCCAAGTAAAATTCATGGATTATTGTCAAATTGTGTCAATTAACTATTATCTATCCCATATAAAATACAAATAAACCAAGATAAATAAAACGAATCGAATTAAAACCAAAATTACGCTGGTAGCACTTATGCTAATTTATCTTATAATTGGTCATTTATGTGAACTTCAAACTCGTGTCATATAAATTCTAGTGAACGAAACATATACCGAATTTAGATCATGAGAAACTTAAATAAATGTATTATTTGTTTCATAACTTACATTTCAATTATCATAAATAATTATTTAAAAACCAAGCATCAAAATATTATCTATAATATCCTTGATTCGGTAGTATCACGAAACAGGGGACACCCGAAAAATTATATGTACGCTATTTCGTGAGTCAATTAATCGCAATTTTAAAGGAATTCTACGTTTTCATATTACTTTTTTCTAAGCCAAATCAATTGTCAAGGAACACATGAAACCACTATTACAAGTTTTATGCAAATGGACGTCTCTTCGCCTTTTTATAAGCTTAAGAAGTTTGAGCGCTAACCTAACGGTGAGAGCAACATTTTCACGCCGCACGGCTGTTTTTGGCTCTCTGAGAGTTTGAAGCTTCGTATTGCTCTCATTTTTGGCGGCACAATGTTAGTACTTGTTTTTTAGATAGCTTAAATAATAGAGTTTTTGTAGTAATAAAGAATTTTTATAAATAATATTCCATTTGCTTATTATTTGAGCTAGAAAAAAAACTTACGAACTTACGTACTATCACGAACTAGTAGCCGTTTACCTTAACTGTAAACCTAAACAAAAAAAAACTAGTTGTAGTAGCTCGTTGAAAGCTGTAATATGTAGCATGATAATTTAATTAGACATTAATTATTACAATAATTATAAGCCGCGTCAATAACCCCACGAGTAAATTGATTGGGTAAATAAAATAGAATTAGTAAATAGATAGGAAAATAGACTTTGTTATATTGACTGAAGCTTAAAATTGTTATCCGTGTTATTTCTACGACTTGTGAGGTGAAGGAAGTGAAGAATGTGTTTTTGAAGTCTAGACATTTTTTTGTAAAAAGATTATATAGTGGATATTATTATATATTATATATATTATTATATATTATATATTATATATTACAATAGTGGAGCGCGCGGCGCGGCGGCGGTATTCGAACCCGCGGATCACGAGTCGGCCAGTGCGACCCCTTCACCGTTCGGCTATCGTGGCTTCTTACACAACTACTTCGATTGTATTCCCTGGTTATGTTCTTAAGCCGGAAAAGCGACTATTTCCTTCCGAAAAGAAGATCAACGGGGTTATACCGTAAATACCGAAGTTAGTACGTAAGCAGGTATATTTACTTCACTTCTAGCTTAAGAACTTGCTTAAGTTATGTAGGTAATAAAATCAGTAATGGTTGATATTTTCCTCATTTGATGGTAAATGATTGCCTTTATCGTACAGTTTTTAAGTATGTGCTTCTCTACCATAACATACGTTACGTGACGTTGACTAAATATTTCTCACGAAGATTTTCCGTGTTTGTTATGCGTCGATATTTTCCACTTGTGAATTCGCGACTATTATCTAATAAATAGTTACTTAACTAATAAGTACTCGAGTCTACTAGTAATAGTTAGGCACATGATAATGAGTAAAGAAATTATGATTTTCCTATTTACCCATTGAACAAAAAGGTACAAATAAAGCATTTCTGCATAGGTACTTATTCACCCAGAATGTAGATATAATTATGTAGGTATATTTTTAAGTATAAAAGCGAAGGGTCACTGACTGACTCACTCATCACGAAATCTCAGTAATTACAAATGCTAGGCGTCTCAAATTTTGCATGGGGGTTCCTTTTAGAACTTGGTGCTCACTAAGACAGGATTTTGCAAAATTCCAACACCCCTAAGTAAATGGGTAAAACGCTCAGATCATAGAAGGTAACGGATGAGCTGAACTTAACTAACTTAGTAATAATGAACATTCACGAGTATACACAAGCTTTTAAATGTAAAAAAGAGCTAAGTATCGACCCCTGAAAAAGTCACAATAATCCTCGTTCGTTTCAGCTAAATGACGTCGGCCACTGCGCAGTGCGCACTGCTGGACAAAGGCTTCCCCCATGGATTTCCACAGCGACCGGTCCTGCGCCGCCCGCATCCAGGCACCTCTCGGGCTCCCGCGGCAGTGGGCGGGAATAGCTCACACAGTTGATGGCCACTGGGGCGGAAAAGTTTTCGAGTGACGACCACGGGCGAAGAAGTGACGTAGTGTAGGCAGGGTAACACTCAATCACAGATGGCGCTACTAGCGCACTCAGCTCCTCGTTTGTGAAACATTGTAGGTACACACAATAATTTAAATAGAACACATTGAATACTTATAAGAGAAGAAAAATAAATAAAAAGTCGTTATTAAATTACATTTTTATGTAAGAAAAATAAAAACTGAAGACTTGGCTGTTTCACTTAATGCATTTGCCTAAAAACTTGTCAAGTGTCAAATATGTCAATGTCAAATTGACAAAATTCATTCTGTCAAATAACGAAACATCGTGAATATTTTTCCACGTGTGTTTTTAATAGTTAATTTCAATTAATTGAAAACAATTAAATAATTATAATGCCAGTAATGCAGAGAATAAAGTAAGTTTGACAATATTATTAACATTAATAAATTGGTAAAAGTTATAAGTAAGGAATCATCACTACATAAAACTTCACAGCTTTAAATTATTTGTGAATGATTGTTTGTTAATCTTGTTATTGTACGCATTTAAATATTTCATGTGAATTTAAATATACATTTCTTAAAGGCACATGTATTAAGTATTTATGTAGCATGATACTTGTATAATCATTATTAGTATTTTCATAACCTAACACTCTTTTTCTTCTATAGGAAACCTACCACACGTAGGGGTAAAAAAGTATTGCTTGCTAAAGAGCCTAAGCCCGTCGAAGGGCCAAAGCAATGCCTCTTCATGCAAGGACGCAATCCGTCAGAGCGCACCAGAAAACTATTGAAGGACATTTATGACTTGAAAAAGCCAGATGCTGCATATTTTACCCGTAAAAATGACTTTGTACCATTTGAAGATGCATCACTTATTGAAAAGTAAGTTATTTTTTATCCTTAATTTCTTTTACAACTTACAATCTTAAACTACCATTAACTTTAATTAGTTACTGTTATCAATTTGGTAAACTTCTTCTTTATAGAAATACCTGTACTAAAAGTATATTAATGAATAGAAATACAAGTAAATCATCATTATAAGTAATTTTAAATGTAACCTTCATCAGAAATTATCCAGTTCAAAACCTT